GATACTATTCGAATATCCATGTCACGCATTCGGATACAATGAATTGGTCGGATCAAAATTTTAAATAACTTGAAAAAAAACTTTAAAAATCATAAAATTCTTATTTTATATATAGTGATTGTGCATATTAGAAGGTCAAAACCAACGGGAATAATAATTTTTTTTTCAATTTACATTTCAGAGAGTATTGGCTCTCTAAACTGTCAAAATTCATTGTATCATCTCCATATGTTAACATTTTGTCACGTTTTACAAAGACGTTACCCAACATAGATTCGATACGGCGACGTGGCTAATCAAATTAAAAATTAATAAAATCGGGAACCGCAAATCTAATAGTTTCGAGTCAATAACAGTCAACCATTAAATATATTACAAAAACGTTATCTTCAACAACAATGACGGTCGATAAAGTGAACAAAAAAAGAATGGACGAACCAAAATATTTTAAGGGAGAAAAAAACGTGAAGTGAAGACGATTGGTCGACGTATACGGAACGCGGGAAGAGCAGCAGAGACTGAAGCCACATTTAAGTTGTGTCTGCTTTGTTTTGTTCTTTCTTCACCTCTTCTTTTGCTTTTTTTTTTTTTTTTTTAAATTTCCTTGTCTGATATTTTTCTGCCACTCGAATTCTCATGCCTACGTAACCCAAGATTACAACGTCCATTATACACACGTACATTTGTTTGTGTGTGTGTATATATATGGGCACATGATCAATACATACGTGTATTGTGTATATACGTCCCTATGATTGCTTGGACCGACGACGTGGCGTTTTGTTATAACGACGGGTTAATTAATCAATCAATCATATAACTTTATATACGTTGCGTGTCAAACAAGGGCTATGAATCTAGTTAATATTTTGTGCATGTTCCTTTTCTTCCAGACGCTAGACTCACGTTTACATTCACGTAAAAAGAATTTATTATAAATTAAATCATATTGTATAACAAAAAAAATTATGATAAAAAGACACGCATGAGTTGAACTTCGATAGATAAATCGGCCATCCATCTAATTTCTAAGGCTTTGTTCACAGTTGGACTTAATTTTGAATCAATTAATCAGAAACGCTCTAATTAAGAAATCAATGGTTGGATTATAAATCACAACCCACAAGACTATTTCACACATAAGCATTAATTTTGATATAATAACCGATTTTTTTTTCCGGATTATAAAAATTAATGGTTTAAACATTGTACAATTTTTAATAATGATCGAGAATTATCTTAGAATATTAAAATTAATGTAAAGGAAAGCCAATATGTGGCCTTTCATTAAAGCAAAAGCTCAAGTTGCATGAACTTTCGTGGTGGTGCGTGGATGGTGGGAGTCGGAAACTTAGCCAAAACATGAGGGTGTTTGTCATTTAATTTACTTATTTTTTTCATATTCATAAATACGTTAATAATATTATTCTTATATATATATATATATATATATCCGTATATATCAAGTCAAAATAAATATAACTTTTGTAAACCGAGATAAATTCTAACTAAAAAAATTATATTACTGCTAAAAGCCTTTAAGATTGTCCAAATTAAAATCGGAATCATTTTATTATCAAATTGCAGTACACAAGTTGCATATGAATTCCATTTCTTGGATAATCTCCTTTATAATGCAAGGAACTAATTATGCAATTTTCTTAACCCAAATATTTTTCTTTAATTCGATTTGAAATCAAACCGTAAAGCGCGCAAACACACACACACAAGCACATACATATAACTGTTACGGAATGTAAAGTTGCCACATGTAGCGATGATAGCAAGGCTTTCACCCTCGCGCGTGTCATACACACGCCACGAGAGCCATGACGTAATGGAAAAGGGTTAATCTTTTAATGATCTTTTCAACCATTACAGAAAAAAGAAAACAAAACGGGATACGACAGGGGATTTGTTTTACAATTTTGCTTAAATAAAAAAAAAGACAGTTCTAAGTATTATAAGTGTAATTGTATAACAGATGGCCCGTTAAATTTTACCATTTTGTACAACTTAAATAAGTATAACAGTCTATCAATGCGTATTAAGAAAAAGGTTCTATCATTCTTCAATGATTTTATTATTCTTTGTTTTTCTGTATGTTATAATGTGTAATATATATATAGGAATAAATATAGAAAAATTTATTATTAAGTGTATCAATAACGCAATCACAAAATAATAAATATTAGCTTAATTTGTTAGATTACACATATAATTGATTTTTATTAATTTTTATTTCATTTAATAAGTTGTTGTTGGCAGCGATTGCAGGTGGGTGCGGTTAGAAGTGAATGGTTCGTTGCGGTTGCCGTTGCGTTTTGATTTAAATTATAAAAAAAATATTATTTTAAAATAATTTTTTTATAATAATTTTAATTTAATTTTTAGTATCATCTGATAAAAATTATTTACTAAATTTAAAATAATTAAATAATAAATTTTAAATATAAATATTATCAATTTAATTTATTTTTAAGTAAAAAAATAATTTTATTATAAAAATTATTAAAAATAATCATTATTAAACCTAAAAATTATACTATTATATTTTTTTATTAAAATATAATACTAAAAAATAATATCAAACCATAACACTAAACAAAATCATCAACAATATATATACTAATGTTTTATATAATTTTTAATAAAAATATTTTAGTTTTTTTGTCAAAACGGCGGAAACTGATACCAAAACGCAAGTTGGAAGCTGCGATTAGAAAACACAAGTTTGGTTGCGGTTGCGGTTGGTTGCGGTTCAACCAGTCAGTTATTCAATCGCTCGCAACCGCCGGAAATTGCAACCACTCCGTTTGCGGGTGGCGGCGATGCAACCAGTCGCCCCCATTATGCATTTAATTATGAGGTTTACCTTTAAACTTAATCAATATGTTTACTATTGTATTTACCAGAAAAAATATGTTCACTGTTGTCAATAGTTCGTTTTAGAAAATATATATTTTAATAATTAGAAAAATCTTTGATGCTATTGACGATGATTTGTTACTTTAACTAAAAAAATCAAACCAACAAGAGACCTTGAGAAACATGTGGAAAATAAATAAGTTAATAACTTATTTTCTACCCAAAAAAGTTACAAACTTATATACTCAGTATAAAAATCAATTAATCAGTCCAATAAACATAAAATTGGTATAATTAAAGTTTAATAAATTGAGAGCTGCCTATGTTGGGTCCTATTCATTTTGAATTATTAGAGTTAGGTCATTCAATACATATATTAGACCTCTATAAGTTGGTTCAGCAAATCAAAATTTTCTTGTTTTGTCATTAATTTTTTTTATAACTAGAAAATTCATCGGGCGTTCGTCCCGACTACTACATTAGTTGCTAACGGATCTCAATATTTCTACTGTTTTAAATACCAGTAACTTTGAAATCGTCTTGTAAATTTGGAAAAAAGAGAGAGCTAAAAATCGTATTAAAATCTTCTATATATCATATTGAAATCATTGTAAACCAGCTAAATTAACTTGTAATTAATTTTTCTTAAGAATGCGAGTTATGTTATTGTTTGGGAGTTTTTAATTAAGAATCCTTGTTGAATAATTATACTATTTTTATTTAATCAATAGAAACTCATAATTTATTTTAGTATAATTGAAAGCAGTATTTATTCATTTTTTTCTTGCACTATTGACAAAAGAGAAATGATTGAGAAACGGCTAATATTAACCAAAATATATTAAAAATAAAAGAAACGTAAATATAATTAGAATTCGAAAAAAGCGCGCTAAAAGTGAAAACGGCATAATATAAATGCATACAATGTCACGTGAAATAGTTTGCTTGGACAAAGTAGTAACGTAAGTTTGGCAAGAACCTCGTAATCTCTCCTTTTCTCTTTAAAAAAAACATAGAAATGGTAGGAAAATGGTTTAATATTTTAATCATGTAGTTTATAAACTATATCATTATATATATATATATATATATTTATGTATTATATGATCGGTAAGAAGAGATGTTTTATCCAAAATTGGATGGCTTAACCGGTAACAGATGAGATAAAATTTATTTTAAATCTGGATTCGAGTATCTATTTGGGAAAGGATATTCTCTTTGACTTCTTCAGAGTGAAGATATAGTTAGAACGAAAGATCGTGGATTTCCGGAGTAAAAAAAAAAAGATGCTTTACATTCATATATAAGGCATAAACAAGTGTGTGTATATATATATAATAAAACTTGCATCGACACAAAATTCTAGTTTCGAAATGAGTAATTATATACAGAAGTAGATACGTATCAACGATATAACTTCTCGTGTTTCCATTACAAAAAAAAAGAAAAAAAAATTCCATTGGACCATACGTAATTAATTATACAATAGATAACTATTGAAATACATAAATCTATATGTTTTTTTTTGTTAACGGTAAATGTATATTAATCCAAATCTGTTACAACCAGAATTTGATCCAGAGTTTAGAGCCAAAAAACAACTCAGACATACTAGAGAGAACAAATACAACAATTAATAGCTACCAAAATCAGAAAACCTTATAGATCGCAGCAAACCGTTGATTCGATACGAATCCTAGTCTCAACAAGGTCTTTGAGTAATAGATGGCTATTTAAATTTATCTTTTCCCTTCCGAGCTCTGCCGACTAAGGTAAAGTCAGTTGGGTCTCGGAGAAATCTATATGTTAATAGACAAGAAAACATGAGATATATATATATATATATATATATATATCTTTTAAAGAATGAACTTTGCCTAAACCGAAATGGACATGCATTATATATCTCTAGAGCCGAATAATAAGAATTGTTTGTTATTATAAAGTGATGGTCCTGGTGCCCAATAATCAAATAGTTCTTTTTGTAACCTGCAATGACCATATAATTAACTTTTTTATATATCTTTTTAAAAAATATTATTATACAAAAAAAAAATCATCTTTTTTTTCTTCTCCCACACTCTCCTTAGCCTTAACCCCCCTCTATATATACGTGACCTCCCCAAACTTCAAAGCTCGTGCCATAGCTTGTGTCTTAAGAGAAACACATATACATCGCTAGGGTTTCCAAAAACACCTCTCTCCTTCTCCTGTCTCTTCTTCCTCCTCATCCCGAGAACGAAACGACATATAATCATACGACATGGCTATCTTCAACACTCACAACACATGGGCCTTTGCTTTCGGTTTACTTGGTACGTTGTTATAACATTCGTCTGCTACTCGTTTCATGTTCATTCATTTCGTTTCCACATCGATATTATCCAATCCTATATATATATATATATATCATATATATATGTCGGGGATTATATTATATTATATACCATATAGTGTCACTGATTTCGTTACTCGTGTTTCTCCAGGCAACATCATCTCCTTCTGCGTGTTCCTCTCTCCTGTGTAAGTTTCCTATGTGCCATCAAAATTTAATCTTATTTTTGTTACATACATACATATATAATATATGTGTATGTATATAGACACGTATGGTCATCATATGCTTACAAACTAATCTATGTATTTGGTTTGATCTTGTAGGCTGACCTTCTACAGGATTTGGAAGAAGAAGTCGACCGAAGGATTCCATTCACTTCCGTACCTGGTGGCGCTCTTCAGCGCGATGCTGTGGCTATACTACGCCACACAGAAGAGTGACGTTTTCCTTCTCGTCACCATTAACTCCTTTGGCTGCTTCATCGAGACCATCTACATCTCCCTCTTCATCGCCTTCGCCAACAAGAAAGCTCGGGTATAATATATATATATATGCATATTCAAGCGTACATATATATATACACTCAAAATGTTAAGAACGAAGATGAGCCATGATTCATATCAGTCTACTTCCATGCTATTGTATCGTATGTGCTGAATATATATATATATATATATATATATATATGTTTTGGAGAATATCAGATACAAATCAATAACCGGTTCTGTATTTTGTTTACATTGAATGCAGATGTTTACGTTGAAGGTTCTTCTGCTGATGAACTTTGGAGGATTCTGCTTGATTCTCCTCCTTTGCCAATTCCTGGTGAAAGGGTCAACTCGTGCAAAGATCATCGGAGGAATCTGTGTCGGATTCTCAGTCAGCGTCTTCGCTGCGCCGCTGAATATATATATATATATATATATATATATATATATATATATATATATAATGCAAATTAATATATTCGTTGAATAAATTATTTTAAAAGTTTTAGAATAAAATAAGAGAGTTAATGTTGGATTGCAGAGGGTGGTGATAAAGACGAGAAGCGTAGAGTTCATGCCCTTTAGCTTATCCTTGACCCTTACCATCAGCGCTGTTGTCTGGCTTCTTTATGGCCTCTCTCTAAAGGATTTCTACGTCGCCGTAAGCCCCTCTCTCCCTCCATTTCATTTATTTTCCATTTTTGTTCATGGACGTCCAAATACATCTACATATTCCCGACTTCCATATTGATTGGTGAAATCGTTACATATGTGATTCAACATAAAATATGCTATATATATATATATGTATTATATCATAATTGTCGTAGTTATCTCTTGAGCATAGAGGAAAATGAAGAAAAGACAGATTTGCATGAAGTGTATGCTTTTGTTTCTAATGAACCTGAGGCTTAATCATAGATAAGAAAGAGAGATAAAGATGATGAAAAAAGCAAAACCCTTTTGTTTCGGTATTTTTGTTTGTAATAAAATATCCCACAAACGCTAAAGAGATTCTCTTTTATCTTCTAAGGATGCATTAAAGACGTCGCCTTTATAAAAGCGTTTAATTTTTTTTATATAATATATATGATCGTTTTACTATGAAATTTATAATTGTACGTAACCTATATATATATAATATATACACACACATTAATTTATATATGGGTTACAAACTATAAAAGTAGATACATATATATATATGTACATAATTAAAAAAAAAAGATGCTTATCGTGTTATGGACTGCTAAAATATACAACTTTTTTTTTAATATTTTTCAAATTCCTTTATTTATTTTTTTTCCTTTTTTGCAGTTCCCAAATGTGATTGGTTTCCTTCTCGGTGCAATCCAAATGATACTCTACGTGGTTTACAAATACTGCAAAACGACGCCGAATTTGGCGGAAAAAGAAGTGGAGGCTGCTAAATTGCCCGAAGTGAGCATCGATATGTTGAAGCTGGCCACCGTACTGTCGCCTGAGCCCGCAATCGCAGTCGTCCGTTCCGCGAACACGTGCACCTGCAACAATCGCACGGCTGAGATCGACGATGGACCCGACCCTAAAAACGGCAAGCAGTCCTCGTCTGTTAAATGAGAATGTTTTTTTACACCATGCATTGTTGACTTGTACCCTCTCCGATACACGACCTCTCATCCACCGCCACGTCACGCCACGCATTACCCATTTATGTTCTGGTTGTACTTTTTTTCTTGAGTTTTTATATGTGTGCGAAGTAGAGGATCGCTGCCCCTGGAAATAAATTCATCCTCGGATGATACATGTATTTTCCGGAGTCGATTTCTCTACTTTTTAATTTTATGTAATTACCTATTGAAAATATGTATATTCCCCATTTTCAATTAACGAACAATTATAAAAAAAATTACCGAATAATTTTACGTCCCTTCTTCGTATTGAATAAAATTTTGTAACCCACTTTCTTCATTGACAAATTACAGTAATATATATCATTAGTAAACTTTCTTCCAATTATTATTACAAATGAAAATTTTAAATAAATTTATAGAAATATTTAATTTTATGTTATATTTAAAATCATTACAAAAGACGCAACATTTAATACATAAAAAAATTTAGATATAAGAATTTTAAAATAATTTGACAAAATAAAAATAATTTTAAAATAACCTTGAACAGACAGGGGAATCTTCCGTTGACTCGGTGACACGTACGCGGAAACCAAATCAACTTGGGAACATTTCTATCGTCTATAAATATTTATTTGTTACGAACAAATTAATGGTCCTTTGTTTATTAGACATACATGAAAAATATAAATAAAAACTTCACAAATTTGAATTATGGTTAACAATGATATTTTTAAAATGAAGGAAAATTATAATGAAACGGATAATTTATTCTGAAAGAAAATATACGCACGAGGAGGATATATGATTGACGATTGATGCATGGTGCGGTTGTGTTTATGCGATGGTGCAATGAATTCTTTATCTTATAGTCAATTATTTTTTAATCGAATTCGATATTTTAAAAATGATCAGATATATTTTTATTTAAATCAAATTAATTGAATATAAATTTAATGTAAAAAATGGAAAATTAAAAGAACTAAAATATTATTAGCAAGAAGTTTCTTTTTTAACTAACAAAATTTAATTTGATAATAAATATTTGAAATAAACGGACAAACTAATATAAAATCTTCTATATATAAATGTTAAACAAATTAAAAAAGTCCAAATACAAAAAATAAGAAATAATAATAATAAAATAGAAATCAAATTGAAATGTGAAATATCGGGCAATTGATACTAAGCAACATCATACGAATTGTTGGTTTATTATATGATGAAGACGTATTGGTCACGGTACCGTGAACGGTGTGAGAGAGACACATAAAATGTCAAAAGACAAACAAAATTTCAAAGAACTTTAGACTTTCCACCACAAGTCAATTTCGTGAGATTATTAGATCTAACTTTTCATTAAATTGTAACTTTTCTTCTCATTAAAAAAAATTAAGAAAATCGATATAGATTATGAAACAGAGACCATTCTTTAGTCCGACCAAATCATGTCATCAAACATTTCGTATCGGCAATGTCATTGAAATAAATCCAAAGGATTCGATATCTATCGTCTATATAATATGAATAGAAATTTCATTTCGTATCCACACATGTTTGATTAATTCAATTGTTTTTTTTAAATGTCGGAAACTCTCGCATCAAGGTGATTTGATTGTTTTGAAGTTGTTTTTTTTTTGTTTCTTTTAGAACATAACTTCTAATTCAATTTTTTATAATATTTCTTTTTTAATTTCGTTTTCGTTTTGTTTTCGGATTACCTTTTTTTTGTTTGAATTCACTTAATTTGATTTTAAAAAATGAAATCCAATTCGTTATTAGACCATATTCGATTCAGTATTAGTTTACATTATTTTTATACTAGCATGAGATTTGGAATTATAGACCAAAGTTCAAAAACAAATCAACACATTAAATATTAATTCATTGAACACTTTTTTTTAAAATTACACAACAAATGTTGGTACATTTATTTCAACGAGCAGCATATGTACCATTACATGGGTATAACAACTTGTCGTATAGTTAAATTTTTATATGATATTTCAAACATTCATCATCATTTTTATTTTATTATAATTATATCCAACGTAATAAATATATGGATTTCTCATATGTTCATGAGATCTTCAAACACCTTCATGGCAGAAGCAGGAAGACCAAGAAGCACATTGATGGACTTGGAGTCACTTCCACAAGGCAAGAACAGAATAACCTCCTTCTCCGGTAAACCGACCGGTCCGGAGACTACCGGTTCACCCCAACCGAAGTTCTTGGTGTGAAATGACAGTTTTGCCCAAGACGTGATCAAGAGCGTGGCGCTCAAACTCGGCCTCGCTCGCGTGACCTCGAAGTAGTCGATCGCCGATCTCATGAACCCGTCCGTGACCATATCCACGGCGCCACGGACCAGACCCACAGAATGAGATAGAGGGTTACACATGAGGTCACCTGCTGACGTCACCGAATACGTGAACACTATCCCGTTGCCGGAGTATCCTGCCGGGAGCGGCGGAGAGAATCTGGACCGTCCATCCGCCGCGAAGAGGAGTTTGATCCGTTGATCGGGTTTCAAGTGTAGGGCTTGGCAACGGCATTTCCACAGGAACCCAGTTAGGGTTTGGAAAGTTGTGCAATGTTGCAGAACACCGTCCTGCATGGCGATGCGTTTGAGCTTCTCGAGCTTTTCTGGGTCGAAGAGGAATGATTTGTAGACGAGTTGTTGGTCGGAGTAGAGTTTCGCAGTGTCGGAAATGTCTTGGATCTCTTCGAACTCGTTGTGAGGGAACTCGATCTTCGGAGGGGTACGTGGTCGGAGGATGGTACGGTCCAAGTACGGAGGGAGAGACAAGGGAAGTCCTCTGGCTGTCTCGGCCCAAGAGTTGAGGAACTCCATAGCCGCGATTCCGTCGAACATGTTGTGGTTCATGCACAGCCCTAGTACGAACCCTCCGCATTTGAATTTCGTCACCTAATTAACAACATTAGCGGCCAGATTAATATGTTCTTTAATTACATGGGTTCCTATATCATCGTTAATTTATATATAGGATATGTTTTAATAAATAAATAAATCGGTGTATAATGTTCTTATAATATATACTTTTTCTAGCCGTCGCTACGTACACCTTGGTTTTACATGGCTAACCCTACTTAATTAAAGAGTGCATGGTGATGCATGCACAAGACGAAAGTGACTGATCTACCTTCATAAATCTAACATTTCAAGCAATTTAATTTACTGGCTGATTTTTCTATGCCATATTTCTCAATATTGCATAACACTGTATACCATATACCATATACCATATATATATATATATATATATATATGTATATATATAACCTCACCTGAGCTACCAATGGCGGAATCTCAAGAATATTCCGGGCACCGGGAACATCATCGTAGACAAGCTTCCCCAAAGTCTCCGGTCGAATCTCCGAAATAGCATCTTTGATATTCTCTATCCCACAATTGGCCTCAGCTTCCACGAAAAGACCTCCTTCGCTGGTGCAATCCACCGCGATCTTGCCCTCCGGGCTTATCGTTAGCCTCCCCGCGGCCGGATAGTAGTGGACAAGGACCTCCGAGAGAGATTTCCTTATAACTTCGGCGGATTCTTGGTTCGATCTTGTGTCTGATTTGAAGTAGTAGAACGTTTTGACGGAAATAGCGATGTTCTGATCGAGATTCGAGAGGTAATGCAGACCCTTTGGCGTTTCCTTCGCCGGAGGTACAAAGACAGGGCCGTTCTTGGTCACGACGAGCTCGAAAGTCTCCGCCATTTTTAGGGTTTTGAGGAAAGATATACGCGTTTGGAAGTTTTGGAGATTTTCGGAGGTTAAGTAGAGGTTCGTATTAGAGGTTTCTTGTGGGACAAGTACGGTGGAAGAAGAAGGAGAAGAGGCTATAGAGGAAGAGTAACGCATGCATGGGAAGGGGATGGGGAGAGAGAAAGCTTCAGGATCACTAAAGTTTAGGTGAGTTAAATACTTTGGATTATCGACGTATGGTGGAGTGATTAGTACTTAATTGATTGATTAATCGATTAATTAAGTCAAATATATCAAGAGTGGGTCGTGTTTTTTTTTCTTAAAAAAAGGGAATGTTAGAGCAAGTTGTTGGCTTGAACCAAACTATATATAAACCAGACTTCACAGACAGGACTGTCCGCGTGGGCACGTACGTAATGTCTGGTTAATAGATAGGATCGATTACAGTTACTGTTAAGGATTATCCAATTTTTTTCTCAACATTATTTGATAATCATGTCGTGTGTAAAATTATAATGAATAGCATATGTGAGGATGTTATTGGGTAAAGGTTATTGCAACAAAAAACGATAGGGTTTTCTCTTTTGTTCTTGTTAATTCGATCCAATGATCAAACTTTCGTCCCAAATCGTCCATGACAAATGTTACGTCATTACACAATCATATGGCGTGTGGGTCTTGACATTTTTATTATTAGAATTTTTGGAGATTTAATATTATATATATAGTCGAATTTGCACCTACGTGCTATATAATAATATGGTTCGAAATACGCATCCGGGTATACCAAACTCAATAAAAAATAATAATAAATAAAACATATTCCAAAGGTGAAAGTTATATGAGAAATCCAGCCTACCGACCAACAAATTAACTCTAGTAAAAAAAGCATTTATTTTGGCCACTTAATCTAGAAGGAACAACACGATTGAGAGAGGCAAAGAAGAAAACCATGAACGAGAGAGTTAGAGAAAATCCCAAGCAGTTGTTGCAACTTCTCAATCAAAATTCAAAAGGGTTGAATCAAATTGCCTTTTCTTTTTCTTTTTACCAAAATGCAAAAAAAAAAAATGCTTTCTTGTCACAATAAACTTCAAATGTGTCAACCAATCTAAGGAAGAACCTTCTTATGACTAGCAAATTGCTAATAATAATAATAATAATCCAACAGGCCAAAAATAAATCTTTAAAAAAATTTAGAGATGTTGGAGGAAAGGTTGATTCTCACACTCCAAAGTCATTTTTAACATTAACAAATCCCAATCAAATCAAACCCGTCAAGCAAATCGTATCCTTTCCTAAGACAAGTGAGGAACCGAGTTAGAACCCTAACTTCTGATCTACAGTACATCACTATAAGAAGAAGAAGACAAACCGTATACAGCCTGAAACTACAAAGATTACACGCTACCAACAAACAAAGCCCTGACTGTGAATCGAAAGGTATCATCAGGAATCATTTAGCTTCAAACCCCGAAAAGATAAAAGCCAACTCACCACTCTTGTGCACCATGCCAAAAGCCGATTTCTCTTGGGTTGGGGCTTCCTTGGCTGCTGTTTTCCTTCTCATTGTCGTCAATCTTTTACAAGCATCAGTCATTTCTCTCTTCGTCTTCCTTCTCTATGTCACTTCCGGCCTCTGTATTTTCCTCATCTTCCTCATCATCATCATCATCATCAGTCATTTCCTTCATCGCCTCTGTGATGATGTCCTTCACTTCAGCTTTTCTATGCATGAGATCAACACCGAAATGCCCACCTGATAATGATACGGCGCATAATACGCATTATTAAAAAAAAGCTACAGAATCGTTGAAATGGTATTTACACATAACGGAAATGAGAGAGAGATTTTGAGACCATACCAAGCTTCTTTAGAATGTCGGATAGAGTTGCCTGTTAGGACAACAAAAAAAACAAAAAGAGAAAAGTGCATCCTAAGAACATCTAGTGAAGCTTAAAAATTAAGCATCTGGACAAGTGAAATCAAACCAACTGACCGTATCGAAGTCCACTTCCTTAAGAATTCTGGCCACCACTGCAAACATCTCTTTTGTCGTGGGCTCTGCTCCACCTTTCCTACCTGATTTTTCTTTACCTGTCCCACGAAAGTACCAAACAGTAAGGAAAACCCTTCAGAGAAAGCTAGAAAATCATCATCCAAATAATGGTGAAATTAAGCTCTCGTCATAGATGAGAATGCTCTATACCTAGATCCTTGGCCAGTGATTTACTTGATCGTTTCTTGCCTTTCCCTTCAGAGGAATCGTTCTGATCCTTTTGACCCTCATTTTCAACTTTCTGTTTCTTAGTCGAGGACGATGTCGACTTAGTCATTTGATTGGTAGAAGCTGCTTTATCCTCACGTTTGGTCCCAGAGCTACCTTTCACAGTCTTTTTCTGTGAGCTTTTCTTATCAGATGACTGTTTGCCCTCAGCTTCATCTTTTTCGTCTTCAGTTTGAGTATCTATGTCATCGCTTTCTTCCTTCAGTGGTGCCTCATCTTCTTCATGAGAATCATTAGTTCCTTCTGACGCATCATCTCTTTCCTCTTTGGTTTCTTCAGTTTCAGATGGCTGATTTCGCTTCTCTCCAGATGTCTTGGGCTGCCTTTTTCTCTGCGCATTTGAAACAGAAAATGACAGCATTTTTATGCCAGCCAATTCAACATTATAAACAAATCTCAAGTTGCGCTAACAGTCATGCCAAGAACACAGATGAAAAATATAAAAGAAGCCTCTCATGATTCCATGCTAATGCTTGTAATCTGACCTTCCAGCAATATACATATTTTATGGGGAAGCACAAAAAACCACAGAAGGAAAATATGGAAACTGGGTAACTCTCACCAAACAATCTAATTCTTCGCTGACCACAAACCGATAAAATTAAGTCGCTTAGAGCCTCCAGAAAGAAAATGATTGTCATATCGAACCTTACAGAAATCTTGATGAGCAGTTTAAGCACCAAAGGAAACCATCATGGAGGAACTTGGGGAATAGTGGCAGAAACAAAATATATATTTTAAAGTATGAGGAATCATGCAAGAGCAACAAGAAGAAATAGAACTTGAGAGAATTTAACAAACTAATTTAAAATCAGAGCACATCAAAGACATACTTTGAATCACTTCACAACAAATGCGAAGGTCGAGCTAGATGTGCTCACAACAGTTATAGAGAATAAAGAACTCGGAAAGGTCTTAAGTTGAGCCAAAAAGACATTTGACTCAGCTTGTTCACCATCCACACAGAAATCAAAGGTAGAAAAAGAGCTGTTTAGATTAGACAGATAACGATATAAATCAGGCCTTGGAAAGCTATAGTCAACAAACCTTGGTTGTAACCTCAGATGCTTCCCCAGAATTCTCTTTCGGAGTAACCTTGCGCTTTTTTGGCTTCTAAAATAGAAAACTCAAAACAAAAGAAGTCAGTACTTACTTATCGACGATAAGTGCAACGATAACGCAATTTAACAATAAGCAGCTGTTACATACATTTTCCCTGTCAGCAAGTAAGACATCTCTTGTTGCCTTCGGATATTCCAAAAATTCCAGCACTTTGACAGAGAGTTCTTCCTGACGGATAAATATACAAAATTTAGTCGAATTGAAAATAGAACAAACATGATAAATAGATAAACTTCAATTTTTGAATCAGTTACCTTCTTCACATTACTCTTGTTTATAGGTATATCCAGCACATCGCAGAAATCGATTAATTTCTCCTTGATACATCTCTCGAGCTTTTCCTTCACTCTTGTTCTTTGTTTCTCCTCCTGGATATTATATATATAGCACTCTCAACACAAGGCACGTCATACACATCCCAAAGCAAAAACCTTATGTAAGGGGTTACCTCTTTCTCTGACCATACAAAGCCTGAGAACTGGCCAATGTTTTTCTTCAGCATCTGTGGCTGCAGATCAATGAAACGGCTTAACTTATCAATCTCTCTAGTGAAAAAAAAAAACTGATATTCCAAGAAAAAATGTGTGCAACATATAGAGATAGAAGCTCAAAGAGAAAATACAAATCAAATGAGGAAAACAAGATGATGTGAAGCTGTCAAAGCACCTTTGCTTTCTTTCCATAAAGGATGGTGTGAAGTAAGAGGAGATTGTCGTCAGGTTTTCTCTTGGATAGTTTATAAGCCACTGAAACATAACACTATCAGCTAACAAATATTCAAGTAGAAAAAGAGACATAATTTAGTAAACACTAAACAAAGCTTACAGACTTTCACTTTTGATGCATACAAATTGATTAAGAAATGATGGATTAATAATACAGCCTGTCATCTTCCCATCAAGTATCCTTTTACAGTATTTTCATGGTGTGATTAGCTCTTCAATCAGATAATGGACGAGGATGTCGGTTCTCTTCTAGAAAAAGGGTTGTGTTGGGCTCAATCAGCATATACTAGTAACCAAACTAATTCCAACAACTAGAAGATACAAACTCCAAAAAAAAAAAAGATCCATTGTTTAGATGATACACAGACTTAAAGAGGAAACCTTGCACCAGAAAATCTAACAAGCAGCCTTCAATTGATGCAGCTGATAGCTCATGCATGCGTTAGAGCTCATCAATAGCAATACAGAAGCGAGTTCAAGATGGCCAAACCAGTTAAAACACAAAGAGTCAGCAAAAACAGTCCCATTACTTCCTTTAAGAACAATTCTCTTATGTACCATTTGGGATATCCCTGAGGATTTTTCACACGAAACGCAGCAAAACAAATACAAGTAGAAGTAATACGCTTACGTACCATTTGGGATATCCCTGAGGATTGTTCCACGACCCTGGAAAAATCCCCAAAACCCGAATCGGAGATCAACATTCAATTTCTAACTCAAAAATAAGCTCTACACAATTCGGTATCGCAAATCCGAAAGGCAACGATATTTACGTCGCTATACCTTAACAATCGATACAGACTTGCTTCCAGAGGACCGCGAAGGAGTGGGCAGCGAATAACGCTCCACCTTCTTCCTCGTCCTGGTAGGCCTGTCACTGAGCGGGGTCACCGGCTCGTTATCTACCGATTTGTTTATTCCGCTACTCCCCTTCTGACCCGTCTCTTCTTCCTCGCTCTCTACACCGTTTTCTTTCTCTTTCGCTTCGTCTTTCTCCTCCGCCTCGTCACTTTCCCGAGAAACAGCTTTCCCGGAATCACCAACACCACCTCCATCCTCTGCCGGAGCTTCGGTCTCCAGTTTCTTCTCCTCTAGGGTTTCAGTAGCCATCGGAAACAAACAGAGGGAGCCGAGAAGGAATCAAGACCAAAAGAGAGAGAGAGAGGGATGAATCAAACACGAACCCTAAATCCAGAGGTTCTACACAGAGAAAACCGAAAAACCCTAAATCAAGAAATGGAAGTAAGACTTAAACGAATTGGGGATTTCAAAAATTTTGGTGCCAAAATTGGAACACAAGGCGGGCTCTTGTACTTGTAGTCGTAGATATTTTCACTAAAACAAGCGCATCGCGGCAAGAACCCAAAATATATACATATACATCTATATATACATAGTACACACAAAATAATAATGCGTTTATAAATAAATAATAACCAATCCTAAATCCAGTATTTAAATGCATAGAAACCTTTCATATTTGAATACAGCTTGTGTTTTTATTGTATGCAATTTTAATTTGGATATCCTGCTATAAATATAAATAGAAAACATCAAAAATACGACTGACTCTATTTAATTCAAACATACCAGTACCAGATAAATGTTTCTATTTAAAACCAATTTAACCAACGAACTGTATAAATAAATACAGATTTATCTTCATTTAATATTGCCAAAGACGCCTTAAATAAAAGGCTTTTAAATGAACGAGTTTGGGCCCAATCTAAATGGCCTTAAGCCCATATCATTAAATATGATATAATCTAGAAATTTAAAGATTTGATTAAATACAACTGTTGGATTATTTAAAATATTAAACCATACATTAAAAATACATATGATGAAAGAAAACTTACACCATATATATGCATGCATGTGTATATATATGACCTCAAAATTAGACAGTTTTTGTCTATAGTCACACTTTAAGGTGTGCAGATAACATTAGACAGAGGCCACACATGCTCCTTACACTTTCCTCTGCAACGCAACCCCATCAACCAAAATTTACCTAATATTACCATTTTACCCTCTACGTCCGCGTTTAGCGTTCTAGCGTTTCGCGTTTCCTTCGCATTACATTACGGAACAAGCGTTCGGATTCTCGTCGCTAAACATTTGCGGCGGGTAGGCGTACATCTCGACCGCCACCGGCGGTGGATAGTAATAGTAGAAGTAGTAAGGATTCTCCATCTTCTTAACCTCCACTACTTTCCCCTCCTCGGCCCCGTCCCCACTGCCACCGCCGCCTCCTTCCCCGCTACCCGTGTTTTCCACGGGTTTTCCCTCCCCGCCGCCTCCCGCTTCTTTCTTTTCCTCGTCCGATGGTTTTCCATCCTCGGTCTTGGTCTCGTTCTTATCTCCATCCCCTTCGTTTTTCTTCTTCTCGTCGCCTTCCGAGGCGGCGGTCGGAGGCTCGGTAACGGGCGGCGGGGGCGGAGGGTCGACCTTAATGACGACGGCGTGTTTGCCGGTGCGTTTGTAGACGTACTCCACTAGCTTCTGCGGCTCAAACACTCCTCTCACATTTACTTGTGAACTCTTTAGATCGGCTTCTACTGTTTCAACACCTAAAAATAGTTTAAAAAAAAAAAGAGATATAACTAAGTATTGATAATTATGGAGAGTTTATATAGTTTGGTTGTTTCCATAAACTGTATATCGTCTATTTGATGCCATAACAAGTTTTGGAAAATGGAAATTCAACTTATCATATAATGTATATTTATATTCGTAGAGTCCACTATGTACATACATCAAATTAATTTGAATGGAATAACGCAAATGTGTATATATATATATATATATATATATATATATATATAGATGTTGCAGAGAAATGGTATGATGTGTGACGGGTGCTTATGTAATGGCATGTGCGAGTGTATGTTAAAGCTGAAGCAATGCACCATCTTGATTTTGAATTTCCATGGACAAGAATTAAAATAGAATTACGAACGTCGATTGGAAAACATAAAGAGATGTGATATAAAGTGGAAAATCTACGCTTATAATAAAAAAGTTAGGAAAATATATAAGTGGATGGTTTGCAAGCAATCAATAACTTTTATCTAACAGTATTTAAAAACAAAAGCGACGAAAAATATACTAAAATCCAAAAATAACTTTCTTTCTAATAATAATGATAGCCCTAATTTCGATATATATATATATATATATGTATGTATGTATATTATAAAAAAAATTTGGTGGAAAATGTAAAAAGGAAGAGTACCTTTCATCCTTTGGATACGTTTCTTAATCTCCATGGCACAAGCCTCGCAGTGCATGTGAACTTTGAGAACCACCGTCACCACCACCGGCGGAGCCTGAACCGTTTTTCGCCGGAAAACAAAACCCGATCATTGCTCCATTAACAATCACACGACCAAATAAAATTATTTAAAAAATAAACAAAAATAGGAAATTATAAAATAATCGTGAGTATTACATATGATAAAACTTTATGGAGCCAATTAATTGAATTGTCCGAAATTCCCCCAAATGTTAAATATAGCATGGAATTTCACTTCAATTTATATTCTTATATCAATCAAATTTTCTGCCATGGTATTAACGTAACGCATCAAACTTTGTGATATATCAATTATTTTTCATACTAAATGTATTATGATTTGGACCATCTTGCTGACACATAAAGAAAAACTATCTCCAATATATAAAATCTATTTTATTACGATTGATATCATTTAAATTGATAAAAAAATAAATACTAAAAACTACACTGAATTTTTGAAATTTTAATCCTAAATGCCTCAAAATAAAAATCATAATTTTATTGTTACAATACCTCTTCTTTCTTGTCCTCCGGCGGCTTAGGGTTGTCCTCCACCGCCGGCGGCTTATTCTCCGGCGGCGGAGGAAGCGGAGACAAGAGGTCGACGTGGCGGTGAGTCTTCCGTTGGACTCTCTCCAACACTTTCAACGGATCTGCCTTCTCCCCCTTCACCACCACTCTTCCCTTTCGACAATCCGTCTTCACTTCTTCCACTCCTTTATCCGTTTTTCACCATCCCCGTCCGTTATATAAAATACATATTCCCAAATTTAGTTTAAAAAAATAAAAAACTAATGATAATTAATACAAAATTAAATTTTTAATCAATGACAACCAATACACTCCACAACGATATACACATGTATTGGCGTATATAACATGGAAAACAGACATATATGTACCTCCTCGTACATGTATATTTGTACATATATACGCACACAGATACGTGGAGATAAATGTGTATATATATATATATATGATATACCTTCGAAGCCTTTGAGGCAGCGGCGGACTTTACGAGCACAGCCTTCACAGTGCATGTAAACCTTGAGGACGATCTCTTGAGGCGGAGGAGGAGAATCTTCTTTGGAATCTTTCTGAGAATCTTTAGATCCTTCCTGGGCTTTCTTCTTAGCATCTTCTTTTTCCTCTTCTGATCCCTGTTTTTTCTCTTCCTCTTTCTTCTCTTCTTCTCCCGACGGCTTCTTCTCCTCCATTTTCGTTTCCTCTCCCCCCGCTTCAGGCTTCTTCTCTTCCTGAACCAGTTTCATAAAAAAAAACGAAGAGAGTTAAATTAGAGATTGCGAAAATGTAAGCTTTCCTCTAAGTTTCATGGAGATTTGAAAGAGCATAAAAGTTTGGGATTTTCTTGGACCTCTCCCATTTGATTTCTCTCTTCTCTCTCTCTCTCTCTCTCTCTCTCTCTCTCTCTCTCTTCTTTTGGGGTTCGAGTCTTTCTATGTGCACGAAAATTTTATGCCCATAGAGAAGGCTTTAAATCTCTCTCTCTCTCTCTCTCTCTCTCTCTCTCTCTCACACTCAAAACCAGAACAGACCACTTGGGTTTTGGACAAGATGGAGCTTTGGACCCCAAGATCTGAAAAGAAATGTTTAATATTCACGCAAAAGTTAATTTTATAATTATAATTCAGAAAAAAAGACGGTAATTTTTTTATTATTTCCCTTTAAACATGAAATATGCGTGCTCTCTGTAACCATAATACAAAATATTAATTTGGTATTTCGTATTAATTACTCAGATACACACTCAAGATTGAATTAATTAGCAGTGAAATGAGGGCTGACAACAAAGACAACGACTGAGGATTCTGACGCATTTATCAAAAACGCAATCAGAGAAAACAAATAGTAATTTTTTGTGACAGAATTTATCAAAACGCAATCAGACAAAGTGAAAATAATTAATCGCTGAGACAGAAAAACATAACTAACTGGCGGCTGGTTATGTTATCATTCCGACACTGTAGTTAATTTATTTTACAAATTATTATAATCTAGTCGTATTTCAGATAACACATACCTTAAATAATTATGCAACCAAAAGCTCATGCAACATGTATGGTACAAAACAAAAGGCATGGATGCATGTTATTAACATGAACTCCATGAACGAACACGAAACATGTGTTTTGTTTGTTCGGATGATGATATGGGCATAGAATTTTAATGACTTGTCACAAACGGAATCATAAAACTGACCCAAAATTCGTATTTTCTTAAATCAAAAGATTTATACGTGACAAAACAAACGTATATATATGTATATGCTACCTTTTTCTTTTCAACCGCTTTTTAGTTTGTATCGAAAATAATTAATTAACGTGATTCTACAGTAGAATTTAGTACAAAAATATTCATTTCAAACAATATATCCAATCATATTCTTACATTTAAAGGGCTGTTCTTATCGTTATACGATTATTCGAGTGCAATGTGTAATGCGTATTATGCGCCGTGTCATTATTCGACTAAAAATTGTCGAACCAAGTTATTAATTTTTAAAAACTTAAACTAAAAATTAGATTAATTTATAGCAAATATAAATCCAAGGATATTTTCAAACGCAAATTAAAACAACAAAAAAAGGTCGGACGGGGAAAAAAAGAAAAATGTAGAATAGATTATTTTATTTTCTGGTTTAATAATATTAATTATGATTTCGCATTTGTATTCATCTGCATGCACTTTTGGTCATTTGCGAAAGCCTCGCCGTCGTCGTCATCACTCTCTCATGCATTGCTTGATGACGTGGCATCAGATAAGGGTCACACGTGTGGTGCGTGTGAGCTGTGGACGAGTTTTTTTGTATTCCCGAGGTCCATTACACATGGTTCATCTCTTTCTCGGAGATATAAAAAGCGAAAAAAAAGTGAGTATATATACGTACGTTTCATTTAATAGTTTGTTATGGATTTATTATGTGTATATATATATGATACTTAAATGATATATATATAGTTGTTGGGAATAATTGGAGCCTTGTGTGCGGGACAAAATGCACATTTAATGAAAATATTATATCACCAAAATGAAAACCATTAGAGAAAATTTTTAATATATGAAACATGTTATTTTACCATAATACTTAAACCTTTTGGATTATTATACTAAACGTCCCAAATATAAATGTTTTGGATGAATTTTAAAACTAAGACACACACATATATAAAAGGGTATTATTGTAATATACGTATTGTTGTCATCCTCTCCACCCTTTGTAATATATTAGTATAGTGAATCTATTGGCTAATATCAGAACTAAAAAAGAATTAAAAATGCAGCTATACACACCAATGTAACTGACAATTTGATATTGTTTTTTTTTTTTTGGATAAAAAATTTGATATTGTTTGTATCCATGAATTATAACATTACCGTGAAAGCGATATAATATTCAAAAATAAAATAACATAATTATTAATAGGTTCTGTATCACAGAGAAAACGGTTGGTCTCATATTTACCATTGAGCATTTAAATTTTGATTAAAAAAATTATTCTTATTAGAGTAAAAAAATTACATATTTTACAAAAAAAAAATAGATGGTGCAATTAAATCCATCTAATGGCGATATTTATACAAAATAATTTTTTTTTCACAAAATTCGCGGTCCTTGTTCGAGTAATAATGAGAGAATCTGGGTAAATATAATGATGGTGGAAAAACGAATCCGAGAGCTGACGAGTACACGTCGGCATAATGATGACGTAACGGCCGTTTTGGTTGGTTCGGTTGTTTCTCCACGTCAATCCCGCGTGTGCCACCTCGAAACTAACGGCGCTAAACTGCGGCCGTTAATAACGGACGCTCCTTTGTCCACATGGGAAATATTTACTCAGCTACCACACCCCTGACTCTGGGCTTAATTTAATAAAGCTTGAAAAAAAGGACCCGTACTTTATAAAGGTACAAGTACATCCTCCAAAATTTTCATCAATTATCCCATTTAAAAAAAATGCAAATATTGAATATTCATGATTCATAAAAGTCATTTAAACTCCATTATTCATTTCAAGATTTAGTTTTGGTTGTCCTAATGACGTGTGATTTTGTAGGGTGAGATGTTGTACAATGAAATTGCTCATTTTGGTTCAAAGCCCACAACACCTTGGACTAGGGATGTCAATTGAGTTGGCTCAACCCATTTGGGTCTAATCCATTTGGATTTGAAAGATAAACGGGTTGGGTTAGGTCGATCCGTTAATAATAGTGGATGAGTTGGGTCGACCCATTAAACCTGTATAAACCATATAAATCCATTTTTATATTCACAAATTACTTATATACATATAACTATTAATATGTATATTCATATAACCTAGAAATTATCATTTTAATATTCGATTTGGTTTATCCATTCAATAAAAATATATATATAACTGGATATTATATTATATTCGATAGTTTATAAGCAAAATTATATATTTCTTTAAAAAAAAATAAGATTTTTTTATTTTTTAAATTCGATTCGATGTTTTCAAAATATTGTCGTTTAGATTTTTTGAACGGGTCGGCTCAAAAACGACACCGATTTTTTCAATATGATTCGATTCAGAAATGGTTCGAGTTTTCTGGTATGATGCGAATTTTCGGTACGATTCGATTCGGAACAGTACCGAGTTTTTTTATACGATTTGAATTTTTTGGCACAATTCGATGCGAAAACGACACCGAGTTTTTTGATACGATTCGATTCGGAACGGTACCGAGTTTTTTATATGATTCGAATTTTTCGGCAAGATTCGATTCGGAAACGACACCGTGTTTTTTGGTACGATTCAATTCGGAACGGTACCGAGTTTTTTATATGATTCGAATTTTCCGACACGATTCGATTCGGAAACGATATCCAGTTTTTCGGTACGATTCGATTCGGAACGGTACCGAGTTTTTTTATACGGTTCGAATTTTCCGGCATAATTCAATTCAGAAATGACACCGAGTTTTTCGATATGATTCGATTCGGAAACAAAACCAATTTTTTTGGTTCGATTCAGAACGGTATCGAGTTTTTATACGATTCAAATTTTTCGGCACGATTTGATGCAAAAACAAAACATAATTTTTCGGTACGATTTGATTCGAAAACGATACCAAATATTTCGATTTAATTCGTATATATATATATATATATGTTAATTTTTATATATCTAAATATAACAATTTTAATTAGTTAAAAGATGAATTTAATTTTAACTAAATATATAATGATGAATTTAATAGGTTAACCATTTAACCCATGGGTTTAATGGGCCAAAACCCATTTAACCCATTTTAAAAAATTAACCAAATGGGATAACCCATTTGGATTTATAAGTGGGTCGGGTTGAGTCGACCCGTATAACCCGACCCATTTTGACATCCCTACCTTATATGATGAGATATATAACATTTATTTGGTTGGAATAATGAATTGATTGTTTTTATATAATTTTTAAAAATTATCGAATTTTTGATCCAATTACATATTTTAGATATTTTAGAGGATAGAGAAAGTACAAATAAATATTAATGTCCAAATGAAAACTCTAATCTCAATTGAAAAAAAGTTTTACCATATCTTTATCAATTGAATCACTGCAAATTTGACTAAGAACATATTCTTCTGAATGAAGCAGAGGGTCCACTGACGTTGAAAATCAAATCAAAATTTGACAATAGAAAAATCCTTATAACACATTGATTTAAAATAAACCACGAGGTGTATATATAAATATAATTACGGCATAGTAAAAGATGAGATTCACTATAAGACACCATATTCATAAAGATGAGATTACATTAAATTCATCCGGAAAGCAAGAGATCAAGGACCCCCAAGAAAGTAACTTTCAATCCTAGATATCTTATAATAAAAAAAACTTTAAATTCTAGATAAGATGAAGAGAAAAAGATTGCTTGGTATAAAAGTAACCGTTGATTTCCACTAAGAAAATTTATATCAATATGGCGACGGGCTTGACTGATACCAATACCCACCCAGTTATCAGTTCATTCAATTTCAATTTCAATCTGTGCAGAGACCAAAACCGAAATCTGAACCGGACATTTTCTAGTAGCGTGCTTGTTATGTCGATTGTCCAGACCGACTTTTCTCATAAAGGATAAATCAGAAAAAAAAAACAACTCAACAAGTCCATGAACCATAAACTAAACCGGGTAAAAGTTAGTACCCAAGCCTGAACGGTACAATTTTCGACATAACCGGTAGATACATAACCGAACGAATACCAAATCCAAGATTGATTCAATCTCGTTATTCCACGGAAAATTGTGTTATTATCTATTAAATCCCAACGCAGTACTCACCAGAGCAAATTCATATTGCCATGCATCTAGGATTTCAAAACGAGTCGAGTTCGCGAGTCAACTGAGGTTGACTCTTTTTTACCGAGACAAACCAAGAATATCTGAACCCGAATAAAAAATGGGTTGAGTGAGTTGGTTCGGGAACTAGAGTAAAAAATGGGTTGAGTGAGTTGGTTCGCGAGTCAACTGAGGTTGACCCATCTCACCACGAATCGAGTCCAAACGAGCTAGTTCGGTCGGTTCGTGAGTTGGTTCGGGAACTAGAGTAAAAAAAATTTTTTTTACGTTAAAACTTGAAAGTGTTGATATTGTTTGGTATAATATTTTGATTTGGAGATAATTTTTTTTATATATGGATTAGATGATAAGATTGTTTTTTGTACATGGATTAAAAACTCATTGTACATGATGGATTAGAATCTGAAAATGGTTTTTTTATATGGATGGATTATAATTTGATTTATTTGAAGATGATTTTTTATACGTGAATTCTAATTATGAATATCAGTATGATTTGGATATATATTGATATGTTTTTTTTATATTGATGTATTATTTGAATATGTTTTTGTATATTTTGATACGATTTTTTTTAGGTATTTAGAAAATTATAATTTTTATATGTTTTTTTAGATATTTAGAAAAATATAAACTCTGTTATAAGCGATTTGTGCTGAGTCAAAATTTTTTTGACCTGAATAAAAACAGACTTAACGAGATAGCCTGAAAATGAAAATGAACTGCTGGAAACGAGTTGGTCCGATCTGCTCACATCCTATGATGCATCCAAACAAACACTGAAAGCCACAAACCACGGAAACAAGATTAAACTGGATCTCAAATATCTCCAGAAACCCCTAAACTAAAATCGGAGAAAATTAGATCCCGAAAGAAAAAAAAATCAAATCCAATTGGTACCCAACAAATAAGTGTGCGCGATTAAGAAGTCGAGACAGAAACCGAAGCCAAAACGAAATCAGGACCCATTTCAAAATTACATAGCGGTATGTTTCGTATTCACAGAAGCCAAACATGTGTCGGTCACCATGAATTCAAATCAAGCGAAAACAGAAGAAAGTAAACGATTGCAAGTTCCCGAACCGAAAACAAACATTTTTTTGGACCCATCAGCGTACGATCTGTATACTTAACCGGTGTAGATGTGGACGTGAATGGCGATGGTGAAGATGGTGATGAGGCCGAAGAAGATGATGGCGTGGACGAGAATCGAAGCGCCACTCGTCTGCATATTCCCGAACTCGACGACTCGGCCTCTCGCCGGAATCTGGAAGAGAAGTCCCGGTGACAGAAGCACGAAGAGGACCACCGCAATCACCACCGGGCCCCAATCCGCCATTGTTCCCCTCCCACACTAGACAGAAAAATATCAGAGAAATTCAAAAAAAAAAAGGTTAGAGAGAGAGAGTGGGGTTTTGCTTTTTTATTTGTAGAAAAGAAGCTTCTCGTTCGACGTGTAGAGGGAAAATGGACGGTGGCGATGTCACGTGCGGTTACGTCGAAGAACTTTTTGAACGACGAGACACGTGACCAGTTGTCTTCTTTATCGTGTATTGGCCCGACTGTTGAAAAAGTCCTCATGTATTGGGCCGACTTACCTGACCCGTCTGATATGGGCCGTGTCGGCTCAATAACTTGGTACAATAAAATATTGGTAGTGAACATTGATAATTCCAAGCCCGATAGGAGATAATTGTAAGAAAATGTGAAATGCCAGACATGATTAATGATTATACGAAAAATTGATTTGCTGTAAATAAAATTCACAAGGAGGATTTGTTTGTGAATATAGCTTGCTTGCACTTAAACTTCGGATAAGATTAGCCCTTAATATTGACATCTATCATCGGAAAGCATTATACTAATTATATAAGTTTTTTATTTGTTTACTTAAATATAAAATAACCCATTCAGTTCTGATTATATAACCAAAAAGCACAATTTTATTTTATGGATGCAATTTCTGTCTCCTTTTCTTTTATTACCAAAACATTAGATCGAAGTGGTCTTGTACGCGTGAGATGAGACTTGTCGTAATCGTCAACGAGGGTAAAAGCGTAAATTACTTGCATCATGGACGCATTCCTTTTGCTCGTAAAAACAAAACAAGAAGCCAAGAAGGCAACAATCACCTCTCGGCCAATTCAGTATCCGTTTGGAAGAGGAGGAAGAAAAGAAGAATAACTTTCTGTTTTCTCTCAGATTTTCCGTCACTTTCCTGGGAAGTTTCCTTTCCTTTCAATCAAGTATCCTCTCTTCTCGTTCTCTTACGGACGTTGAAGATAGTGTCGAGGGGCTTTCTTGGCTCTTTTCCCGCTCAGTTTCAACCTCCCCATATCCATTACAGAGATTTCCTGTCGAATTAAGCTGGTCAACTTTAGTATTTGATATCCATCCATTAAGATCCTGACAAGTGAGCTCTCGTGATTCCCCTTGCCTTTTCCTGGGATCATGTTAGACTTTGTATTTTCCTATTGTTGAGCTGAGATCGATTGGTTTCGATTCTGCAGATTCCGAAGATTTTTTAGGGTTTATTCCTCCAGAATTTTGGAGTCGGAGATGGCTAGCCAAGGCGGGTCATCGAGGAGAAGTCTCTCTATGCCGTTGCACAGGAAGAAACCTTCTGACATTGCCGCCGGCGGCCCCGACAGCTCCCGGAGATCTCTTACTGTTCCTCGTCCGTCTTTGTACGTTTCCTGGGTCCTTTTTATATCATATGAAACCCTAACCTCCAATTTTATGGATATATTCGAGAACGATTCTGGGTCTCAGGCTTCATGCGTGATTCTTCTAGTTTTCGTGGTTATGGTTCCCCTTCGGTCTATTAATTCCATATCCAAACTTACGAGTTTCTGTAATGGAATTCTAAAATACCATCTCCTTATCTATTACTGGATTTATGATTCGATTGTGCAAGAAGTTGGATATTGTGTTCTTTTGCATCTGGTAATGGTGGTTGGCTATGGAACAGGAGTTTGACAGGAGAGCGAACTGTTAAACGGTTGAGGCTGTCAAAAGCCCTTACGGTTCCAGATACCACAATCATCTTGGATGCTTGTAAACGGATGGCTTCTCGGCGAGTTGATGCCTTGTTGCTCACTGACTCTCACGGATTGCTTTGTGGGATTCTTACCGACAAGGTAATGCTGTTGTTTTCTGTTGAACATCTCGGTTTTTTCCCAGTAACTTATAACATGATGATTAATGTATTACCTTTCTGGGGTTTCAGGACATAGCTTTAAGAGTGATCGCGCAGGAAGTTAATCCCGAGGAAACACCCGTTTCCAAGGTTATGACCAAGAACCCGGTTTTCGTGCTTTCCGAAACACTTGCTGTCGAAGCCCTCCAAAAGATGGTGCTAGGTTTGTATTTATTCAACTATGAATTCGGGGGTATTTATTCGCTTTCTTATCCATGCCTAGTTTGCTTAACGAGGTGGTCCTGATGCAGGAAAATTCAGACATCTACCTGTTGTTGAAAATGGAGACGTCATTGCTTTATTAGACATATCGAAATGTTTGTATGACGCGATTGCCCGTATGGAGAGGGCAGCAGAGAAGGGTAAGGCCATAGCTGCTGCTGTCGAAGGCGTCGAGAAGAGCTGGGGAACAACCTCGTCCGGTGGGTGAAGAACTAATCCTAGTTGTATTCTTTTCGTGCTGTCTTATCATTGTTCTGTCAATTGCTTGACTTCACATGCAGTTCCCAACACCTTTATCGAAACACTGCGAGACCGGATGTTTAGACCGTCTTTGTCAACCATTATCCCGGAGGATACAAAGTAGGTAATACCTTCTTTGCTCTTTTGTTCGTTTAAAATTTTCTTTTTGTCCCGTGATTTGCGTTTGTTTGACATATGGGGGATCCTGTTTTAGGGTTTTGAAAGTCTCGGCAGCTGATACAGTGGTAGCAGTGACCCAGAAAATGCTTGAGTTTCGAGTGAGCTGTGCAGTTGTGATGATAGAGGACAAGCTCCGAGGGATTGTAACGTGAGTCTCAGTTTGAACTTCACCTTTATGCTATACTTCTTTTCTTATGTCTCATCTTGTTCTGTCTGTCCAGTTGCTTATAAACTGAAGTATATCGATTTGATTCTCCATCTGTCTAGTTCAAAGGATATATTGATGCGGCTTGTGGCTGAAAATCTCCCTCCAGCTGAGACAACAGTAGAAAAGGTGCGTTTACATCGAAACGACTATTCAAACTTTTAGGAACAATGATTTCATTAAGCTTTCTATATTCTTGTATATTCGTTACAAGTCTGGTGTTTAGGACTCACATTATTCAAAGGCGACATTTATTCCACTGTCGGAACTTCCTTTTTTTGTATTTTGAGCTTCTGGTTTCATTTTAACTACCCATCTGCTGTTCCAATGTATGACTTTATGTAATAAATGACCACATGTTTTCTTCAACATCTTGCTTCTCTACCGATGAAACCCTCATGTTTCATTTCTTCTGTGTTTGCACGTTTATGTGAACCGTTATGCACAGATTATGACTCCGAACCCAGAATGTGCTACAGTCGACACGCCGATCGTCGATGCTTTGCACATCATGCATGATGGAAGGTTCTTACACCTTCCCATACTTGATAAAGGTTATTTCCTTTTCCACTCGGGGTATATTCTTCTTGTGAAAAGCAAGATGCAAACATTTGTAAAACGGCAAGCTTTTTTTTCTTCTTCATAAATTGCAGAAGGGAATGTAGTTGCTGTCGTTGATGTGATTCATATCACTCATGCTGCTATCGCCACGGTAAGTTCTTTCTCGGATTTAAATGTTCCTGCCCTTATAATATTCTGATGCAAAACTTACATTTCCAAGTATAATATATGCATGAATCATGATGGATTGATTCCAGTGACTCCCTCAGATGGCTTAAGCCTCAATATCTCAGTTAACATTTGTGTTGCGAGATTCGTGCTGCGATTTATTTCAACAGTTTCTTATCTCATGCCGGCTCGTTGATTTGCATAGTTTAAAACGTTTAGGCTGTTTGAATTGATCACAAATTTGACATTGGCAGGCCGGAAGCACTGCGGCAGTAAGCAACGAGGCGACAAACACAATGATGCAAAGGTTTTGGGATTCAGCAATGGCGTTGCCTCCAAACGAGGATGACGACGAAACTAGGAGGTTATTATAAAATTCGCCACACTATAGTTTATTTCATTCTGGGACCTTTTTCGTTTGCTGACTCTTGGGCCGGGTGGTGACATTTCAGCGAGGGGTCCTTGAAAGTTGTATCCGAAGCTGATACAGGAAAACCTTTCCATTTCCCAAATACGTTCTCATTCAAGATCGAAGACAAGAAGGGTAGAATGCACAGATTCATAACCGGTACTCGATACCTTTGCTATTGTCACCAAATCATTCGTCAGTTGAGATAACTACGCATTCTGTGTATATCGAGTATTGAAAAAATGCTGGTGGTTTTCGTCTGAACACACCACAGATACTCAGAGTTTGACAGATGTGATAACCGCGATTCTTCAAAGGATAGGGGACGATATCGACCCTGATAACCTGCCATACATTTTGGTACGTAGATAATACTAACTCATTCATATAAAACTGTAATGTTTTATGCTTTCTGATTAAATGCTGGTGTGGATAATGCGCAGTATGAAGATGAAGACCATGACAAAGTCTTGTTAGCATCGGATAGCGATCTTCAGGCAGCCACAGAGCACGCAAGAGCAATCGGCTGGAAGGTACATTAACTTATTATCTTCAGGCAGCCATTTTTGTCATGACGTTGTCTCATAACAGAGCAATTCACCTTGTCTTGTCTGCATATATGAATATGCTTTGATGGTCTGTGTCAATTCTACAGAGCTTGAGATTGCATTTGGATTATTCTAAAGAAGGCAGAGGAGGAGGAAGAGGAAGAAGAGCCTCGGGATCTGAGTCGTCGGTGGACTACTCGCAGTCGGATGCATGGGCCGCGGCTTACAGCGCAGTAGCCGCCGGTGCAGCCTTAGTTGCTGGTCTCGGGGTTATGTCTCTTCTGAAAAGATATGGAAACTGATCCAGACAAAGAAAACATACGCATTTTCCCGGGAAACAAACACAATAAGTATCGCACGTTGTTGAATATTTTCTTCCCAAATGTTATCAAATGTTTTGCATTCAATAGTTTTTTTCACATTCTCTGGCTTCTTTTAGTTAATTCGTAACTAAAACTACAAACACTGTGACTGTGTGGAGAGGGGCATTCACATGGGGCTTCCCCGGTACTTTGGGAGATGTAGTCGGGCCAAAGGCTCGGTGAACTTCCGGATTATCAAAAAAAAAAAAAGAATGGAGTATGAGCATTCGTCAAACACCAGCGACCATCGAGGAACTCTTCGATCTCTCCTCCAAAGACATTGGAGCTCACTTGTCATGTCCGAGAGAGGAGGCAGCTCTGTCGGTCTTTTCAGGCCGAAGTGACCACTTCCTCTGTAGTCTCCGTGAAGAGGTCGGGGAAGAAGATGAAGGTGAGGGTAGCTCTCGGGCAGTGTATAAATTAAAAATAAAAATTACCAGGTATATATTTAAATTAGGCATTAATTAATTATTTAAAATAAATAAAAAATAAAAAAGCAAGGGCAGTATCAGGTAAATCGCCGTCCACATTATCCAAATAAACCCTCAATCCCTTGAGAAAACTTCGCACACCCTCTGATCCAATCAAAAAAGAAGAAAAACCAAAAAATGGACAACAACAACAACAGCAGCCAGCAACCTCCTCTCTCCGCCTTCCCTCCTCATCCTCCATCCGCCGCCGCCGGAGTCGTCGTTCCTTCCCCTCCCGGCTCCGTCTCCGTCTCCGCCGGCGGAGGAACCCCCTACCACCTTAAATTCCTGCTTGGGTTCCCTCATTTGAGGTTTTGGTTAGTGTAGTAGAATCTTGATATGGCTCTAACGTGAAAATAGACGAAAGAGAAACTAACTAGCTAATACAAAAAATACAAAAGCTTCAATTGAAACAAGAAACAAAGCTTTAACCTCACCTCAACCAACCTTCGTTTTCCGATTACAGACCCTTTTTTAATCCCCCAAGTTACTTACCAATAGAGAAGAAAGTTTAACTCTTACCTTTGGCAAACCATGGACGAAGCCGCACAAGCTTTCTGTAACATACAAACTCAAAAAAAAAAAAAAAAAAAAAAAAAAAAATCCACCGAACACTCCCAAAATGGACCAAAACAACAACCAGCAGCCGCATTCCTCCGCCTACCCTCCTCCTCCTCCTCCGTCCGCCGCCGCCGCCGCCTCCGGAGGCATCGTCCCCTCAGCCGCCGCAGCAGCCGGAGGAACCCCCTACCACCACCTCCTCCAGCAACAGCAGCAGCAGCTGCAGATGTTCTGGTCGTACCAGCGTCAGGAGATCGAGCAGGTCAACGATTTCAAAAACCACCAGCTCCCTCTCGCTCGGATCAAGAAAATTATGAAGGCCGACGAGGATGTTCGCATGATCTCCGCCGAGGCACCGATCCTCTTCGCCAAGGCCTGCGAACTCTTCATCCTCGAGCTCACGATCCGATCCTGGCTCCACGCCGAGGAGAACAAGCGTCGCACCCTCCAGAAAAACGATATCGCCGCGGCGATCACGAGGACCGACATCTTCGATTTCCTCGTCGATATCGTTCCCAGGGACGAGATCAAGGACGAGGCCGCGCTCGGCGGGATGGTAACACCGACCGCGAGCGGGGTGCCGTACTATTACCCCCCGATGGGTCAGCCGACGGTGGGTCCGGGCGGGATGATGATCGGGAGGCCTGCCGTGGATCCCACCGGAGTTTATGTGCAACCGCCGTCCCAGGCATGGCAGAGCGTTTGGCAGAATTCGGCCGACGAGGTTTCGTACGGTAGCGGAGGAACCAGCGGCCAGGGGAATCTCGAAGGCCAAGGGTATGATGCTTCCCTTCCTTATTGTTCTCTTTTGGGGTAATGTACCTTATTCGAGTGGTCGCCTAGGGTTTCTAGGACTCGCGTCGATGATCAATTTTGGAATAGGGATTTTGATCCTGACTTTGAATTGATTCTAGGGATTTTGAACCTGCTTGCTGATTACTCCGTTTTGTGCCTGTTTGATCTCGTTGTTGATCCTCTGAATATGGTCGGCTCAACCAAATTTGATATGTCTGCAATGTTTTATCCAAGATATAGACATGGATATCATTCTCTCAACTCACTATCGTTGATGAAAATATCACCAGACAGCTGGTGTTGACGTTTCTGATTTTGCTCCAAAATCCTGTGCCCATCTACTGCACCTTCTGTACAATTTGCCCAAGACTAGAGAACTTTGCCCATCTTCTTCAGCGCCAAAACTGCAACTTTGAGATATTTCAAATGCCATCTTGCTCTGTGTTTCTCTTCTTTGTCAGTCCACCTTCTAAAATGCTTCGTATAATTTCTGCAGCTGATCATGAGGATTTCAGATGCCTGAGGTCTCGCCGCCAGGTGCTGCTGTTGAAGACAGTGGAGTTCAGTCGACGCTTCCTTGATTTTGCATGCATCTGATTTATGTCTGCTTTTTAATTTAAGGGCTTACTTGAAAGAAAAAAAAGCAAAAGAAAAAAAAAACTCGTCTTCTGCTCTGTTACCTTATAAGTTAATGCAGCTAAAACCATAATGGCTGCGACTCGCCTAACTATATATCTAATGTGCAGTTCCCAGTTTCCGCTCCTTTTCTCCCATGCTCATAGTTTATTTCTAGCCATTTGCTTCTTGCCTTCTTGGTCTGATTACATCTGATAAGTTGCAGTTTGAACCAAGAGGACTTGTCCAGCTTTGGTTCTTACTGATGAGGTATCAGTCATGAACCTGTGAATCATCTGTTATTTGCCTTGTGACCCGCTGTGTTAAGTAAGAAAGTTTAAGTTGTTATTTTAAGTTACAGTATTTTACTGGTACAACTCAGTCAACATATTACACTTCAACATATTACACTAACATATATTGTCCATAGTTTTTTTTTTCTCTGTGTGTTTTGAGACGAGAGCCCGAACAGATGTGAGCTTTACTGTTCGTAGATTCTGCATTCTGGAGGCTCCCGAGGATACCGTGCTCTGTCGGAGCAATAGTCGTAATCCAGGTATGTCTTCCTGGCATTTCTGTATAGTTCCTTCTCTCTAGGGTTTAGTGCCGAGAACTCTGCACGGTTCCACCAGAACTCGGGGCCTATGCATCTCTCTATATTGAAAAATGTTGTTATACATCCTTCGATCTTTGATGCCTGAAACCATGCCGTGTAGGGCGTCTGCTTCGGGTCAATTGTCACACCTTTTTGACTCGTCACACTCCCCATTACGAACATTGTCTGAACTGATAGGTAGTAAACTCCAGGATTCTTCTTAAACACCCGGATTGGTGTATTGTCCACATAAAACCTGAAATTCTAGGAATGCATCAGATGGCATGATCTATCTTGGGGGATATATTGCGAACGAATAGTCGGGGTAATGTCACGATTACACTCACACTAGTTGACGTGGGTTCCAAAGAAACCTGTAGGAGTGGTAATCTTTGGTTGGATCGAACCAGAGCCTGAACATCTGATCTTTGCCTCCTTCACCATACAGAATCATATTTGTATTCAGCATATACGGCGGTCGATTGCTTCCCAAAAGCTGGAAACTGACCTCATCATGGCGACTAGAACGAGAAGTTAACTGCCACAACAAACAATCAATCATTGCTTCAGAGCCCAGGTATGTAATTTCATCTTCTTTTTTTAACTACCAAAATCCTAGAGTTGCGTGTGCATGTGGATGTGGATTGGTAATCTTACGTAGAAAGAAGTGATGACTCCAGTGGAGTTATTGTCGGGTGCCTTTATTCTCATGTCGAAGGATCCGGATCCATATATAGATACGGACTCAAACCCAGAACCTGTAACAAATATACACACAGTATTCATCAGTATGGAATCTATAGATGCAACCTGTCGTTGGTGATGTTAGCATTGTCACTTATAAAAGGAAGCTTCTGAAACAAATATGGGGAGCAGAATAGTTCTAGTGTTGTCTGTGTTCTCCTTAATTTGGTGTAAAAATTAATCCAACACTGGTGAATGTTTTCTGACACATGCATGGCATAGAACCAGATGCACTAGTGTGTGTGGGTGCATACATGCATGGATGGTCTCTGTGTGTGCGTTTGATGTGCATACATACATGCATGCACGCATGAAATTTCAGTGTGAGAAGAAGAAGAAACCAGAGAGAGTGTCGAGAGAGAGCTGGAGCTCAGAGGTGTGGTTGAGAAGAAGAGGGGGGTTTCCCCATGTTTGGTAATAACTGTTGCCCCAACTCACTAACCCACTCTTCTCTTCAGTTCCAACGCTCAAAGACCCGAATCCAAACACACCCATCATCACCATCCCTACCCCCAAAAGCAGCTTTTTACAACCACCAAACCCCATCTTCTGTTTCTTCTGATGATAATGTCTCGTCCTCAATCTCCTCACTTCATTTATATATATAGTTTCATCTCAATGTCCGTTTCCTCCTTTCCTCACTCATGGTCCGCATCGATTGTATCTTTCTTCTCAATTTTGCATCATATGTATGTGTCACTTTTTTAAGTTAATGCTTAGTCTCGTATACGAATTTACCTTTTGGTTTTGTGTGATGTTTCTTTCCCCTAGTAACTTAAAATCGAGATGGTTCTAACATCATCCTTTTAACTTTTTTTTAGTGACTCAAGTCTTTCGCAACTTAACATCAGGGGAAATGGAATGTTTCTTCGGTTGTGTTTGATCAGTGAAGCTTAAAGTGGTAAGATCTCCCCTCTCTCTCTCTCTCTCTCCTCATTTCTATCTGTGTTCCAAAACCAATACCACCCACACTTTTGTGGTTGTGACGTTTTACCACTAAGAATAGTGATTAGTAGAAGATTTACTCTTTTAAATGCGATATAAATGACGTATATGTTATGTGTGTGTATATATATATATACACATGTGTGTGTGTTTTCTTCTTTCCAATCCGTTGTCTCGGGAAACCCGTGTTTGTTTCCTGATTAAAAAAACAAGGCGTTGGACTTGTAGTGGTGGAGTCGTTATTTGATGATATCCCTCGCTCTTTTACTTCTAGAAACATGTCGCCATGTCCGAAAGAGAGCACTAATCATTCATTTTGTATATTGATTGGCTGATTATGAAATCAATTCGATCAGATCATGTTAATGACATAATAATAATAATAAGAGTATGTAAGGTATCTCAATTTTTTTTTTGTAGGCATATGGAGACAAAACCTATAAAAGCCAACGAACTTCCCCGTCTTTTTTTGGCTCTCTTCAATGCGCAAAAAGGATAAGAAGTTGCGAGGGCGACACCTAATTACAGACTTGTCAATAGACCGACATTTCCACGTGACCAAAATGCCAGTTCTTAATTGTGTGCCTAATCTTAGTTAAAGAGCGACACGTGGATGCCACAAAATGAGCCCAAGCAACGGGCCCAAGAGGGAACAACTTCGGCCATAAAATCTCCACTTGGGTTTGTAATTTATCACGATTTTCAGCAACACACCTACTTGCTTACTCTATACATGAATGAAAGTGGATCGTTATTATTGTGATGATTGATGAATGAATAAAAGGTCACTCCACTAATCGGATTTTGAAAATTATTCAAATTCTCTAGTAAGTTGTAATTAGTGTATAGTATTAGTAACATTCAATGTATAGAGTATTTCGTTTTGGTACGTCGAAACAAAAGAGAAAAGAATTAGAAGGGTATTTACGTCATTCGACAAAGTCCATGGGGTCACTCTTTTAAATGATTTCATAATCACACGTTCCACTCTCCTGTCCCTCGCCGTCTACATTTTTTTCTTCCGACAGCTCCAATGGCGGCCGCTGCCATCTCCTCCACGATCTCCATCTCCTCCACTAAACCCTCTCATTCCTCCTCCAAATCTCCCTTACCCATTTCCAGATTTGCCCTTCCCTTTCCCCTAAATTACCATAAACCCACCTCCTGCCGGGGTTGCCCTTCCCGCTCCATCTCCTGTTCCTCCACTAATGTCTCCGCCGCAGCGCCAACTTCTCCGGAAAAACCCGCCGTGACCCGCGATTTCGCCTCTCGATTCCGCCCCGATGAGCCACGCAAGGGAGCGGACATCCTCGTCGAGGCCCTCGAACGGCAAGGCGTTGAAACCGTCTTCGCCTACCCAGGAGGCGCGTCGATGGAGATCCATCAGGCGCTCACTCGCTCCGCCACCATCCGAAACGTCCTCCCGCGTCACGAGCAGGGCGGCGTCTTCGCCGCCGAGGGCTACGCTCGCTCCTCCGGGAGACCGGGCGTCTGCATCGCCACCTCCGGCCCGGGAGCCACCAACCTCGTCAGCGGCCTCGCCGACGCTTCGCTCGACAGTGTCCCTCTCGTCGCCATCACGGGTCAAGTCCCTCGCCGCATGATCGGTACGGATGCGTTCCAGGAGACGCCGATCGTAGAGGTAACGCGTTCGATCACGAAACATAACTATCTTGTCATGGACGTAGATGATATCCCTAGGATTATTGAGGAAGCCTTCTTCTTAGCTACGACGGGTCGACCCGGACCCGTTTTGGTTGACATTCCCAAAGATATTCAGCAACAGCTTGCGATTCCCAATTGGGAACAGCCCATGAGATTGCCCGGTTACTTGTCTAGAATGCCCAAACCACCAGAAGAAGCTCACTTGGAGCAAATCGTTAGATTGATTTCGGAATCTAAGAAACCGGTGTTGTACGTTGGTGGTGGATGTCTGAACTCGAGCAATGAATTGAATAGATTCGTCGAACTTACTGGAATCCCGGTTGCAAGTACCTTGATGGGACTTGGATCTTACCCATGTAACTGCGATTTATCCCTGCAAATGCTCGGAATGCATGGGACTGTGTATGCGAATTACGCTGTGGATAAAAGCGATCTTTTGCTCGCTTTTGGGGTTAGGTTTGATGATCGTGTGACGGGTAAGCTCGAGACATTTGCGAGTCGAGCTAAGATAGTTCACATCGATATTGACTCGGCTGAGATCGGGAAGAACAAGACACCTCATGTCTCGGTGTGTGGGGATGTGAAGTTGGCATTGGAAGGGATGAACAAGATACTCGAGAACCGAGCAGATGAGCTCAAGATTGATTTTGCCCTTTGGCGGGATGAGTTGAAAGAGCAAAAGCAGAAATTCCCGCTGAGCTTCAAGACATTCGGAGAGGCAATTCCTCCTCAGTACGCGATCCAAGTCCTCGATGAGCTAACCGATGGAAACGCCATTATAAGCACAGGAGTCGGGCAACACCAGATGTGGGCAGCACAGTTCTACAAGTACAGGAAGCCTCGTCAATGGCTGACATCAGGAGGACTCGGAGCCATGGGGTTTGGACTTCCTGCCGCCATTGGAGCTGCAGTTGCAAACCCAGACGCCATTGTTGTGGATATAGATGGAGATGGAAGCTTCATGATGAATGTGCAGGAGTTGGCCACGATCCGAGTAGAGAATCTGCCAGTGAAGGTTCTTTTACTGAACAATCAGCATCTGGGTATGGTTGTTCAGTGGGAAGACAGGTTCTATAAGGCCAACAGAGCTCACACCTATCTAGGGAACCCGGCAAAGGAGAATGAGATATTTCCAGACATGTTGAAGTTTGCAGAAGCATGTGACATTCCGGGAGAGAGGGTTTACAAGAAAGAAAACCTCCGAGGGGCGATACAGAAGATGCTGGAAACTCCGGGACCGTACTTGCTGGACGTGATCGTTCCGCATCAAGAGCACGTCCTCCCGATGATCCCGAGCGGTGGCGCTTTCAAGGATGTCATTACAGAAGGAGATGGCCGGACAAAATACTGAAGGGACCGATCCCTTCTATGCATTAAGGTAACTTAAATGGGTATGTTTTTTCTTTCGTAGTGCTTGTGTTGAACTTGCGCGGTTTGGTAATTGCTGTTAGTTTCTTTTCCTTATAAACCGGTTTGGTTTTAGTAGTAAAATTAAGACTTGGTTCGGTTTGTATCATCCAATGGATGGACAAAATAAATAAAAAGATATGGCATCGATTACCAAATATAGGTAAAACCTAAGTAGAAGATTTGCATGTACTGAAATTTACGGAAAGAAAACCAGCAAACCAAACCGGTTAAAGTTTTGGTTTTCTTTCGGTTAAGAAAATAAATTTCGGTACATGCAAGTCTCTACTCAAGTTTTAGCTATATTTCATGGGCCTCTTGTGTATAAAGTATAAACTTGAGTTCAGTGTATATGTGTATGTATGTATGTATTTGAAGTCATGGGCCATGGATGTCCAATTCGAGATAATTAATTCGTCGGTCGACTTCATGTGCTTTCGAGGCCCATTTCATTGATACAAGTATTGCGTCTGCATTTGCAAAACCCGGTTTAGGATTTCAGGCGTTTTCTTTTTCTCCCTTCAAGTTGAAATCGAGATCGAACCGGATTTTGGTTTGAGATTAGTTCAATACCAATTCGAAATTATATATATTTTTTTTAATTCAAACTGAATTAGTCTGATTCCGTACGAATTGGTAAAATCCACTAATTATTTTTCAAGGGTTGTGTAGTTTAATATAAATACTATAGATAGATAACCCTCGAGATTATTGCATGAGTTATGTTATATTATTTGGAGAAAAAGGAAAAAAAACACAAAAGGACATTTTTGGATTTTAATAAGTAGAAATATTTGAAAAAAAAGAAAATATTGCTTGCTTGATGCATCATATTATTATTACCGAAGACATGTTTTCTTCAAACTAAAATAAAATAAAACAAAACAAAAACATTTGATCTTAATCATATTTTTTTTTCCGCCACAGAAGGGACGTGGGTTTCTGTTCTACTTGTATGTTCAGTCTTTTCAAAAAACTATTATTCCCTTCATTTCTAAATAATTATTGTTTTAGAATTTTAAAATATAAATTATTATGAAAAAGAGAGATTATTAATCTATTATCGATTTTAAATGCGTGTGATTATTAATATTATTAATTTATTATTGTTGTTGTTAATTAAAAATAATGAAACGTCTTTTTAGCGATCACTTGCGCATCCCCAGAAAAAATACCTAAAAGTAATTGCCACCTGCTAATCTGAACTGAAATCCATCACGCTGCAGAGAGATTACATGCATACATACATACATACATACATACATACATACATACATACATACATACATACATACATACATACATACATACATACATACATACATACATACATACATACATACATACATACATACATACATACATACATACATACATACATACATACATACATACATACATACATACATACATACATACATACATACATACATACAGGAAGAAAGAAAATGATAGTGTAGCTGCTTCCATCATGCACTGTATCCACCATTTCTACTACTATCTTTTCATTCCCTTCCGCTCTCAACTCCCGAGGGATTTGGCCTTTGTCTTTTAATCCCTACAAAAAAAAAATTAATTGCCAACTCAAATATTTTGTGTAATAAAATTTAAGAATCCAATTTTATATTCTTAGATGTTGGATACTTGACCCATAAGCGCCCTAATGCTGCAGAAATTACACACATATATATAATGTTTGATCAACATTTTTTGTTGTCACGATATTTTTCCTTTTTTGGATGAAACACAATATAGTACCAAATGTGAGTTTGGATTTTGAAGAGAGACTTAATGTTGCATCATGGATCTGGTTATTATCTATATTGATCCAAAAATGGTATACAAAAAAAGAAGCTAAATCATATGACATCATAATCCCACTCGAAAATTCCAATGTGCAAAATTTAAAATTTAAAAACTTATTCGATTTTCATACCATTTATATCAATATTCCATCTTCTTATTTTCTTCTTCCTCGTTAGTGCCTCATGCGCCAACTTAAGCGTGGGAGGATCTTTTCCAAAAGAAACCAATGAATAAAGGATCTTTTGTGAATCGTTTTACATAAATTCCTTCATTTAAAAAATATATATATAGTTAAGACTAACACCTACCATAATCACACTAACTTGTGTAAGGACCACCGATATATGTATGTCATATAAATTCACCAAATACACTGTCATAATCGAATATAAATATAGAGACAATGCATTCTTAAAATAATATCATATCAAAATTATTATTATTTTTTTTGTCGAGGGGAAAAATCTAATAAAAGGGGACAAGCAAGGATCCAACCCACATGGGATGCAGAAAAAAAAAATATAGTGAAAAAGCTGGTCAAAAGGAAATACCCTTTGGAAAATGATGGATCTCTCCTTCATCTTTTCTCTCTCACAAACCACAACTTGGTTTCAAATTTAATATGATTGGAGATGTATATCTTTGTATATATACATACATACATACATACATATATGATAAGTCTACATGTAGTTACAAATCTTGTGTATAGAGACAAAGGTGAAAAGACAAATGTTAAGGTTATGTCACAAGGGGTTGTGGTTTGTGTGTTGATGTGTCACCAGTTTCCATTGTCTTGCAATCTTACGGACACATCTCTATCATTCTGGCGATACTCGATCTTGATTTCATCGCTTTAGGTAACATTTTTTGTTGTGTTTGTTTTACATATATGTATGTACCTCTACAGTATATATATATTGCAATCATTAAACCCTTGTATTTTGAATCTTGTTGGAAATATGAAATGGAAATACATCTGCATAAGATATATAAATTCTGAATATAAAAAAAAAAGTTAAAATAAAGTAAAAGAAAAGCACTGCGGAGTTATCATTATCACCAAGAAATATGATTTATAGCATGTCAGATTCCACGGTTGATTTTTTACACTGAATCCCAAAACCGATTCTTTTGATCATCATCCATCCTAATCCGTATAGGAGGAAAGCAAAAGGATGCGGAGACAAAGGTCAGTGGGATTTATGGTTTTTCTTTTTGGTGTTTCTGTATTGAAAACTGGGAGAGAGAGAGAGAGAGAGAGAGAGAGAGAGAGAGAGAGAGAGAGAGAGAGAGAGAGAGAGAGAGAGGGATAGAAAGGGCTAAGAAGAAGAAGTTGAAGACAAGTGGATCTTTTTTCCCCACCCCATGTTGTCTTGTTCGTTTGATATATCAATCATTCTTCTCCCTTCTCCTTCTCCTTCTTCTCCTTCTTCTTCTTTCTTCTTTTACTAGCTTGCATGCTTTTTGTTCCGATTCATTTGCATCTTTCTATCATTATCAAAAGTTCCATTGGTCAGCATGACCCCTTTGGTTTTCCTTGATTTCCAAGTTTGATTCATGATATCGAAGATTTTACCTCATATATTCTACTGTCTTTTCTTTGAGTTTTCCATGGAATAATACGGCTGCATCACTGTGTATGGACCGTTTTATATAGATAAGTATGTACATATATAGATAAACAATGATATGTATATTGAATTTTTCCATTACCATCTTCTGTAATCAAAAGAAACACTTTATATATATCCTGGTAAAAAAGAAAATCACCGAGAGCTAGCCTGACACTATAGCTAGTACTAAAGTAGATTAATTACAATATCTCCCCTTAGAAAGTGACCAAAGTGGCATCTCCAAAACTATACGGCACATGTCCATATACATACATATATGTATATATATATAGCATTTTATATGTGCGTTACGCATGCATACAATTTTCTGTGTACTAGTTAGTGTTGGTGAATTAGTTAATTCTCTTGTGTCTCAAAAAAACGGTCTTTAGGGTTTCATTGCCTTAGTAATTATTACCGATCGAGGCCTTTACAGTTCCGCATCCACGCCAGCGTCAGATAATGTTTTTTTTGTAACGTTTGGGAACCCGCACTCGGCCTTCGGACCGGACAACACAATGCCTCGCAGCCCCAATGACCGGACGAATGATACGGTATCGCAGACAGTAAACTCACACGACTAGCTCCATGCAATAGCCGGCAAACCACGCAGAGCAGATAAACCAGCCGAAGCTGACCGACTCAAGGGAAGTGTCATAATGTTAAGATACGTTTCCTAGTAAATTTATGTTTCTTTAGCATGCTTGTGTTCATTTCTATCTAGCTTTCAGATACCATGTTCTCGTGTTTCTGTTTCTTGGTGATGTACTATATATATATATATATAGAGTTATGGATCTAATCAAGAGGTTTGGTCGAATGATGATCATGTTTATGCAATCATTATATCCATCATGTACATGCATGCATGTTTACGGGGTGTATATGTACATGCATGCAATCATTATTCCCAGTTATATCTATGATTTTATTTACCAACCAAATGAGTCGAGACCATGCATATTTAATGAGACACAGCCCCCATTCCCACATTTTCCATGCCTCTGCCGTTAAAATCATTAACCTCTGCATCTCTCCCCTTGTTCCGTAGTTCTCAAGCAAATCAACAAACATTCAAGAAAAATCAATAACGACGTGGCTTTTATCAATGTTTCTACCAAGGAGAAAATGCTTGCGAGGATGTTGAGTATTAATCAATTTGAAAAGGCCATGCATAAGAATATATATATATACGTATATGTATATATATGAGTGATGATCACCAAGCCGACAATCCCCTTTTAGTGACTCTTCGTTTTCTTGCTTACATATATATATATATTCATGTAACTGTCTCACGACACGATACATTAAATGATTAAACCGAAATCAAGTAAAAAAAATTTAAAAATAAATAAAGAATATATAACCCCTTGGGTTATAATGTGTAATTTTTTTCCTCGTCAGGGGCAAAAACAAATCATGCTTCTATTATTAATCATTTTCCTTAGATATCAAGGAAACAAAAGGACCTAATATACCAAACTCCAACCCCCCGAAAACAGCAAACCCCCCAAAAAAGAAGGAAATTATATATAAAAAAGGGACAAATAACTTCTTGATTATGGAGTTATTTTTTTGAAAATATATCAATTATAATATAAGATCGAAGATGATTAATTATAAGGCCTAAACCTCTGACTGCAGGAGTGGCAGGTGATCTCCATGCACGACGTCGGATCTATCCTCCTCGTCGCCCTCTCCTTCAACCTCTCCGCCCTCTCTATCTCCTCCCTCGCCCTCTTCCACATCTGCCTGCTCACCATTTTTTTTTTCCCATTATACCATATACTTTACAACATTATATATCACATTCTAACTATATAGTTATATTTAAGGCGGAAAGAAGGCGGAATATCATTCATTACTACTTGATGAGATCCTTTTGACAGCAAGAATATTCTCGAATCTATAATGATCATGTGGAAGTCTCAAGGCATTCCATTGGATTATTTCTTCTCGGTGTTGCTGTCACTATTATTAGTTGGTAAACCTTCTTAAAAACCACCATGTCTAGGTTTGATTTCCCCTTGTTTTTTGCTGCTGTTTGTGACCTGAAAGACCCGGTTAAGTAAACCGGATCAGATCGACCACACCGTACCTGGCACGGGCGAACTCGGACTGAGCCAACTCCATCTCCCTCCGCGTCAACTCTCTGACCCTCTCGGCGTAAGCCTTCTCAACGGCCGCTAGCCTTATCTGCTCCGCCGCCTGCCACCTCACCGCCTCCATTCCGTACGGATGATGATCCGCCGAGGCCGCGATGGGAGCGAGGCTGATGGACAGCTTTAGGTCGAGATCGTGGTGTATGACGGCGGAGGAGTCCGTGATCATCTGCACCGTCGGTCTCAGCTTTCTCACCGTCTGATCCGGCGGCTGAGACGGCAGCAGCTGAAGCTCCTTTTGATCCTCTTCCGCCATCAACAATCTCTCTCTCTCTCTCTCTCTCTCTCTCTCTCTCTCTCTCTCGCTGGGTGGGGAAAAGGCTGCTGCTACTTGAATAAGTGGGGTGGCAAAACCAATGGCTTTATACGCAGGTGTCGTGTGTCTGTTCCCATATGTATATATACACATACACAACACACACAGTCGGACGTATGCCTCTGGAAATGACGTATTAACCCCTCGTTTTTTTAGAGTCGTTTTACAGTAATAGGAGGGTATTTTAGTAAAATAAATGTCGAGCCAAGAGGATGCGTCCGTTGAAGAAGAGCCAAAGAGAAATAACGGATCGCGTTATTTGGCCATGAGGAAACTTTGTAAGTCATTTTATTTTTATTATTGATTTTTTTTAATGTCGTTAATTTTTTTCGCATCTTTTTCGTTCCTCTATTTTTATAATTACTCACTTTACGTTATCTTTTTTTTTTTTAATACTTTTCAAAGGATATGAAGGGGTTGTGTAATAATTGGAGATGCACGTGGATTAATGGGTTCGAAAAGCTCCTTTTATAACCTCTTTAAATAACATAATACCAAAATTATCATTTTAGCTATAGCTTAGTACCTATCATTTTCACTTGCAGAATGTTATATATTTATACATATAATCGGAGAGACACTCTGATTGAACCAACGTTTTGTGTTTGGAGTTTCTGTGGGAAAAAAACAGAGGGCTTAACAAGATAATTAATAATTTAATATCAAATCATTAGTAATATCCTTGGTATTTATCATTTTTTTACATACATATATATATACATATATATGTATAGTCTACAATTGACAAGAAAAAAACCTAGCTAAATATCAAAAGCTATACAAGTAAAATGTTGAAAATGATTTTTTTTATATCGCTGAGAATTTCAATTATTATCTTTTGAACGCATTGTTTAGATAAATTTCTATCGACGTCATAACTAACGGACGATAGATTAACGAATAAAGAATCGAGCCCTGAGCCTTCAATCTCTCGTTGAATGATTTTAGTTAATTCTTTAGAACCATCTGGATCGGAACAAGGGCACGACCAATCTTGAAATGCGTATAATACTTGAAAGAAATCGTTATCATTACTGAAATTTTAAATAAATAAAAAAGAACTAATTCTTTCATGCAAACCTGCGCCGAAATAGTAAATAATATTACAACCAATCCGGTTTTCGCATTTTGAAAACCAAACCTTAACCGGAATGTTAGCTAAACCGATAAACGAGCAATCTCTCCTGAGCCGAAACCTAAACCAGGAGCGCGTGTATTTCACTCTCATAGTTTTCCCGCTTTATTTTATCGCTGATTAGGTTACAGAGAACAGAACGAATCTTTTCTCGCCGGACGGAAAATTTCCCTGAAGATTTTCTCGCGTCTTCTTTGTCCTCGTGAAGCTCCATGAACTCACGAGATCTTGCCCTTGTCTCTACGGCGGCTATTTTTGGTGCTTTAACTTCAGCGGTTGCTTTTCGCTTCTTCCCCTTGAACCTTAGAAAACCCAACTCCCGAAGAACTGCTTCCACACAAAATGGCGAACTTTCCAGAAGATTCCCGGCTCAGGATCCTTTTGATCCTTCGAAACGAAAAGGGTTTGTCGAATTTCTAACGAATTCATCAATTAGGGCCTTTTCTCGTGATTCGATTCAGTTTTTAGCCAGAATTAATTCTAGAGAAATCTATGAACTTTCCCGATGGCTTACATACGTGAAGATTCTCTGAGATTTTGTTGAAATAAATGAGATAATTAGCTAGAATTTGGTGACATCTCCCGGGAAGGTGTTAGATTTTCCCTGCGTTTATACATTTCTGATTCTAGTAGGATTTATGCCTCAGGTCTCATCTTAAATGTTAACGCTTTAGGATTACTTCCGATAGAATTGGAGCCTTTTCCTGAATTCGTGTTGCTTAATTTGATGCTTCCACCCAGATACTTAACATGGGATGATTACTTCATGGCGATTGCATTTCTGTCAGCGGAACGATCAAAGGATCCTAACAGGCAGGTAGTTCCACCTTTCTGGTGGCTATTTCTGATTTTTCAGTGAGGTTATGTTTATTCCCTGGACTCCTTCCTAAAGCCTCTTCCATGTATACATGGCGCCGAGGTGATTCTTTGAGGTTTTTTATATTGATCTAAAGATTAGAGCTGGCAGGTATCGTTATGTAGTTAAATAGTCGATACATTAGACTTTCAGGTTGTATAGGTTTACGGGCGTAAGATCTCCGTGTTTAGTGTTTAGAGTGACAGAGTGGTCCACAAATTCAATAGTATCTATTGGTGGAATTTTTCAAAATGACCATCCATCTTTGCTTTTGCTGCAACAGGTGGGTGCCTGTTTGGTAAGCCAAGATGGTGTGATCCTTGGTAAGATCGCTTCGGCTAAAATAATCGATCTGAGGAAAACCTTGTCTTTTGCATCAGTATAATAAAAGAATCCTTCTTTTGTTTAGGGATTGGTTATAATGGGTTTCCTCGAGGTTGTTCAGACGACAAACTTCCTTGGGCTAAGGTATAATATTTATCTACCAGAAGAAATGTTTTGGTGAATGTTTTTGGACTCAACACACATAGTAAGTTACCATCGGTATCAAGTTCAAATATACTACATTTGATTAAAAGCAGAGATTTATTTCGGGTAAAATTGATCGAGTAGAGGTTTATATACGTAAATTTCATCATCATGTATTTTGGAAGGTTAGTAGTAAATCTTTTCGTGCTAATTCTTCAGAAATCAAAAACTGGGGACCTTTTGGAGACGAAGTACCCGTGAGTATTCCATTCCATTGGTTCCAGCTACCACTGTATGGTTCAAGTTTGATTGTCCATTCAGTTTATTGGTATGCTTTTGTGTTCCTAATTCTGGTTTTACAGCTATGTTTGCCATGCTGAAGTTAATGCCATACTGAACACAAACCATGCATCCGCCGCCGGACAGGTAATGTTCCATTTTCCACGTTCTAAGATGAACTCGAGAAAATGAAAGTGTGATAACATCTTGTGCTAAGATAAATGTGGAACAATCAATGTTTTCAAAAAGGGTTTTTAACTTTCAACTTCCTCTAAATCTTTTGCAGAAGCTCTATGTTACGATGTTTCCTTGCAACGAGTGCGCTAAGATTATTATCCAGGTTCGTCAATTGCATCCATGCTAATCAATAGGTTGTGTTTCCTTAATATAGGTAACCCTGTCAGATGATTTCTTTGCAAGCCCTCTAATCGTTTCAATACTTAACATATAAAATCGGTTCTTATGATAGTTTTAACGGTTTGTGAGCTTATATGCAAGGACTTGTTTTTGCAGTCTGGTGTTGCTGAGGTCATATATTTTGTAGAGAAGAGACTAACCAAGTCGGATGTCGCTTATGTAGCTTCTAACAGGCTCTTATCCATGGCCGGCATCAAAGTGAACTCTTCTACAATATGAAATCTTGTTTGTGAGTTTGGTCGTGAGATCTGGTCTGAAACAGCACAGCTTCTGTTTTGTTTCAGGTAAGGAAACATCAGCCACGGATGGACGAGATCTTGATCAAGTTCCAAGAGCCCTGAGTCTGTCATTTATATTTTCTTCTGCTATTTGCTCCCCCATTGCAGGATCTAAGGACCTGACTGTACCAAATTAAAATAGAGGGCTAAGTCTTAATTTTATAGAAGTTCGCCTGCCAAATTACAATTTTCTTTCTTCCTCTTTTCTCTTTAATGCATCTACGGGATAATCCTCAAATTGTTTTGCTTGGAGCATCATCATGTTGATTCAGAATATGATTGGTATAACATTCTCAAAATGTATTCTTATTTATTCCAATATGGCTTCGTGTATTATTGGGAATTGAAATAATTTATGATCATATATTTAATCATCTATGATTTGGAATTGCAGGTGATCATTGCAAATGAAATCTACCATAGAACTCCGATTAGTAGGCGCGATCATATTTTACAAAATTGATAGTCCTAAAGGTGGATGCTTTACCCCAGATGCGGACAATTTTGCAACTTCATAAAAGGTGGGGGCAAAAATGAGAAATCCAACTTGAGACGGGCTCATCTTTTTTATTTCCCTGTTCGAACACGTAGGTCGGTATATAAACACAGATTCTGTCATCAAGAAAGCTCGGAGTCTCAAAAGCAATGTTCAGACAAGAACCAAAACAGCAGTTTCATTCATTCATTCACACGTACAAAACATCACAAACACACTGAAACGGCGGCACTTGGTTGGAAGTCAGACTCGGCTGTTCACTGGAAGAGGCAAAACCCCATCGAAGAAATCCCCGAAATAACCAGGCGGCTCATGAACCAGTCTCGAGATGATGTCTCGCAGCGTGATGAGGCCTTCGAGGTTGCCATCCTCATCCACTACGTATATTCTGTGGATCTTCTCGGTATCAAGCATCAGAATCAGTTCTTTCAGGGTGTGGTTCTTCGTGCAAGCGATCACTCCACTCAGCATCGGGGCAGATGTCTCCCCGTGATTCTCCAAGTACTCCCTCACCGCCTCTAGAAAGTTCTTCGCAGTGATTGACCTGAAAACATATATCAACCAGAGCAAAAAAGATATTATGAGCTGAATGTTTTTTTTTTGGTTGCTGACAGATCAAGATCTTGGAATGTTGATCGGAACACATAAGTGAAAACCCGGGCATTTTTGGACAACAATCTGCATGATGTATTATTTTTCCAGTCACACACCGGAAGTTTTCGCCTTGGAGGCTTCTAAGTTCTAACATTAAACTCCGGGACCAAACTTCATATCATTCCCAAAAGCAGCCATTGACAAGGAACTATGAACCAACCTGTTGTCGTGGTAGATCTCTGGTGCAGTGAGAAGAAAGTGAACGTCTCTTAGGCTTATGTTGCCCAATGGTTTATTACTTTCCCGGTCAATCACGGGCATACCTCCGATTCTCTTTTTCCTCATCAGCTTGAACACCTGAAGAACCGGTTCATCATCATACACCTATATAACAGGGAGAACAGTGTAGTTTAGTAGAAGATAACTACCAAGTTCATATCATACTTACAAAGATTATCCATCTTCATCGGATACACAAACATGATCTTATAGGAAATTATGATTGCTAGAAGCTACACTAAAATTCCTTTGGAACTAGAGCTTTGAAGAAATATACAAGCTAACCTTGATCATATGACCTTTTGACATAATGGGGAGACCGACTTCAGATAGAGTTTTGGTTCCCCAGTTCTCGAACCAGTGTAGCCCGGCACATTCTGCCAGCATGTGGATAACTGCTGATTGTGTGATTATGTTCTCAATCTTTGCTTCGCCCAAATCCACCACTGGGATGCTTTTCATTTTGTACTTTGAAAGAAGCAACAGCATTGTTAGAAAGGAGTTCTCCTTCTGAAGAGCAAGAAATGGAGCCCATCGGAATGTTCCAGATATATCTTGGACCTGTTGGGGAAAAGAATCTTGAAAATCTAGAACTTGTGGGGGATTATACCCAAGAAAGTTACAAACTTTTAGGATATATCGGATGATTTGGATCCAATTTCGATGAATCTCACCTTGGTATTCTTGTATAGCTCTGATGAAGTAAGAGCCTCAAAGAAGTTTCCAGATGTTACTGCTGAATCCCCATTGCCTGAAACCTCAGCATCATGAAAAGTTCCGTTTACAGCTGCAACCGAAGACGGGCTTCTGGGAGATGGAGGTTCTAACTGCACATAAAGGTGAAAAAAAAAGACAAGTAAAAGATCACTTTCAGACAGGGAGACTGTTCGGCAACCAAGCTGTTTGCCTTTGCAGTGGAAAACATACCGATAATCTTTTGCTTGGATATCAAACCACGGAATAATATCAACCCACAAATGGTTTGACCTGTTTTAACTAAAGAGAACCGTTCTTTACAAGCTATTGGTATATTTCCATGGAACGACTGAGAACATATTTTCTAGTGCAAAGGAGAAAACATCGAAAGATTAAATATCTCAAATAGAGGGTTAGGCTAGACAATGACCTGATGCAAAAGCCAGACAACGATGCCTGCAAACTCCACAATGCCGAGGTAGCGGTCAATCCAGCTGTCATCTTCAGCTGCCTTGACATTCACCACTGGTGCGCTCAAGATCTTGTGCTTCGAGAGTATCTCAACAGCTTCAGCCAAAGTTGCATCGGATTTGATCTCGACGTCTAGACCCAACAGTGCATGTAATTCAGAAAGATGAGACAACAGAACAGAAGCTATTCGCAGAAAACGTGACTACTTATTGTACAGAGACATAGTGTCAACTCCTTTCTCTGTACATAATAAGATTTGTGTCTAATTTCAAGTTCATCCTCCATTAGCTCTGATTCCCAAAATCCAAGGCTATTGGGGCCAAAGTTTCTCTTCAAATCAGCAACAGATCAAAGATCAATTCAGTTCAAACTCAGCTGTCCATGATAAGATGGGATCGATTCCAGTCTTCAGATTTTCAGAACAGTCACCAAGAGCTCGTTATCAATGCCCAAATGCCCAAAAGTGGTTATACATACAATTCTACCTCCGACCAAACGATCACAATCATCACAGACATGTTTACACCTACTAAACATAACCCGGTATCCAGAAAAAGCAGATGATCAGTCTCACTAACCCAGAATCACATATACATACATACATACATACATACATCAATTCACACGATTCGGTCTAAGATCGTCATCAGAAATGAAATCATCACAACCATCTAGCAAGCGTCTGTGATCAATACCCAGAATCACATATTCACATATAATTACAACTATTACAAAGATCAGCATCCAAGTTTCCAAGCCCTCCCTCAAATCGTGCATACATATACGATTCCCAACCAACATTCACCAAAACTTATGATCAGTGCCCATATCTCAATCAAACAACATTCTCAAACCCTAGACACAACCATCTACATATACCCCCCCCCCAAACTAAAGATCACCGATCATAACAAGTTCATGATCAATACCCACATCTCAAAATTCACACACGAGGCAGACGCATACACAAAGACAAGGACACATACATACATATATATACCTTGGCAGGCAGGTGCGGGCGGGAAGGCGGAGACGGGGATGCTCTCAAAGCAAGCGTTGAGCTTATCAGTGGGACTGAGCTGCGGCTCCTGAACATCCCAGAGATCTTCGACTCGCATTCCAAGCTTCGCTTCCGGGCTCGACACGTCACTTCTTTGACTCAAGCTCTCACTCCTCACTATCTTTATCTCCGGCACACTCGCCATCTTTTCCGACAAACCCACCGTGAAAGTTCCCGTCTTTTCCTCCGAAACCCCCAAAAAAGAAACCTCTCCTTTTCGATCGGAAGTGTTTCGGTGATGGTCTACGATCGTTGAATTGAAATACCCATTCGCTAGAGATCTTGATCCCAGTAATTAAAAGGAAAAGTATCAAAAAATCTTCACTAAGAAATTGCTCTCAGCCCCCTTATGTTTGAAAACGTATGAATAATGGCCTATATTTGTATTTATTCTTATAAAATCCATTCATTGTATTCTGGAAAAGTTTCTTGAGGGAAATAGTTATAGGAGTATTAGTCAATTGCAAACATATTCTGAATAAAATATGGTTTTACAATTTTCCAATTTCGAGGATTATTTCATATGCGAATAATGGTACACATTCTTTGAAAAATTAAAAAGTGATGAAAGCATTTTTTGCAGTTTAGAGGATTAGTAGAAATCTAAAACTTTATGATACTTTAACAGTGTGAATATATTGTGATGTTTTTAAATATCATAATCATAAAATAGTTTGACAAAACAAAAATATCAAACTAAAATATAAAAATGCCATTATTTCGAATTTCGGGTAATATTAGATTTGATGTTATAGTCATCAGGTAATACTACGTTTGACTATATATACATTTGATGAGAATTCTATAATTTTTCCGGTAAGAGGCGGGATGTGTGATATTAGAGATATGGGTGTGATTTTGAAGATAAGACAAAAATATAGGGCAGACGTGTGAATATTTTTGTGTTAATGTCAAATCCTCTCTTGATTACTTTCAACCTGTAAAAGAGTAAGATAGAGTGTACTTATGCACACGGCGATACGGTAGACATCGACTGAGATTATCGATCAGGACCATTGGATTCAACGTTGGAGACACGTGGACAGTAACGGCGATCTAAAGATATAAAAGCGAAAGGCGACACTGTTGAAGTCATCATAATGCTTATCTGTTTATCTTTAGTGTCTGTCCAATTCAATAATTTAGTATTTTTTTAATATATTTTAAACACATAAATGGATAAAGATGGGTAGCCGACTGAATAAAAAAAATATTTTTGGCAATATTATCCACTCTTCCTTCAGTCATTATTATAGAGATATAATGAAAAATCAAATAAAAATATTTTATTTTGATTAGAATATAAGTAAAATAATTTAAGGATTAATTAAAATAATTTGATTACGAAGAAAGCATTAATAAAATGGTTAAAATGTAGAATGTAAAGGCTATAGCAAATTTAGGAATATTAGAACATCAAAAGGGCGACATACGGATAATTTATGCCTTAATAATATAGATTAACTGTTAAAATGTGGAAATTTAGGAATCTTCACTTGAATCTGCTAGGCGTTCTGGCAGCCCGATTCGTCAAATCAAACTGCGGAAAGTTTGGAGACGTTCGTCACGTTGATATTGATCAACGAAGACGCCGTGTTGTCGGGATCGTATGGTCGAACGGTGTCGGTTGCAGCGGCATCAGTGGGGGCAGCGACATTGGGATCGGTTGCAGTCGGAGCAGCAGGGTGAATGCCAGCGGAGGATGTGCCGTCGGAGGACATGTCCGATTAGGTTCTCTGGGAAATCAAGGTTTTGGAAAAAAAAAAGATAGGAGGTTGTCGTTAAACCGAGGCGTCTGATACCATGAACGAGAGATTGGGAAAATAGTTTTCTGTGTATTGCATTATGTGATTTACAAGACATATATACATGCATGAGGAGATGATTGAAGAAACAAATACAGCAAAGAATCAGGGATTGATACTAAAAATAATAACAATATTATTTCCTTCCTTTAGTTTGTGCTCCTCAACCTTCGTCTCTTACAATCCGGTAACTTTGCTGAATTGCCCTTTTTTTTATTTCGGTTGATTCGCTACGTAATTTGGGTTCTGGCTCGATGAAATTCGGGGTTATAGAAAGTAATCGGCTTTTACCCTTTTGTTCAATTTGGTCCAAACTTGATAAATCTCAGTTGTAGAGGCACCGGAATCTTGTCGCCGTAATTCGAAGATGGAAGACATGACCCATTTTGAGGTTCGAAGCAATCGTGCTACTTTTATGCCCAAAAATAGCTTAGTTTGATTTGGATGGATGCCGATTGTCTTGGGACATATGAGCTTGAACATCAGACATGTGCCTGTCAAATTTTGCGATGACAAGCGATGAATCCGTTTAGAGTGGCATTGTGTTGTTCTTAGGAGTTAGAACGGTCCTGCACATTGTTACTTTTCAGTATAATAGGAACCGTTGAACGGAGGATCCTATAGATGGGGTGCTATGAGTAGGTGTGCTTTCATCTTGTTAGCCTCCGGAAAGGAATTCCGAACGCAGACTGCGAAAACCTAGGCTTCTCTGCGATAACTTGGGGGTGTTTCCTGATCTGATGTTCGAACATTTTCGTCGTTCCACCACGCGATTCTATCTTTAGCTAAGGCTTTGGCAGTGATGCTGAATGGGGAGAGAGGGTGGTTTGTTTAGTCTTGGAACTGTTGATAGTTTTCTTTCTTCGGATTTTTCCTTCGGTTCATGGGGCAGCCGATGTTTCTTTCTATGCCAGATCGGACTGTGGTGTTTGGCTGGTTTTTCGTGTGATGTCTATCTATCAGTAATTGTTAACTGATTATGAAAATTTATTTCATACATGTGATCATTCTTCATTTGCCTGTGACTGCTGGGAGGTATGAGGATCTATACACGCCAGCATGATACAAGGTAATTTACTAATTGGGTTATGTTCCTAGGTTCTTCACCGTTTAAACTCTTAATATCCGGGAGACATTATCAAGTTTTATGGCTCACTCGCTCTTATGAGAATGTGGATGCATACTCGATTCAGAAGAAGCTGCGTTTAATTTCAAGCTGTCGTTCGCTACTCTTTTTCCTTATTGAATTATCAAAGAGAATCATTAAGTTATTGTCATTTCTATATCCAGAAAGACAACAGATCAAAACAAAGGGGGTCATTGATTCAATTCATTGGACCATCGCATAACTTTTTTTGCTCTTTCATCGATCTAAAATGTCCGTGGTGTCAAATTTATAATTTGTTCGGTTTTTACTTTTGATCTTGCAGCTACTATAGTTTCCTCATTTGCTTCTTTTGTCGCACAATAGAGCTGAAAATAGGGATCTGGACGACCGAACCCCTGCCAGAGGGGCTACTATTGGAACTCGACAAGGTAAGCCACATGTGATTCTGTTCTGTAATCGCATGCTCAGAAATCTAAACGCCGCTTAGAGTGAAACGTTGTTCTTCCTGCACGGGAGGGACCTAACGGCCGCACGGCTGAAAGAGACTTACCGTTCTTTGGCTTCGAGCCCTTCTAAAGGAGAAAAAGTTTTCCAGCAAACAAAGGAAGAAAGGCAAGTCTCCACTGGCATCTTTGCTAAAAATTACGTGTCTGCTTGTTCTTTCTATTTATAGTGTTAGTATATTGATATATTATTATTATCTATTACAATTATTTTCCTAAAATTATGCCACTAATTATACTTAATTTCCTCCATGTTTTCCTCCATGTTTTCCTCCATGTCTCTTCCATGTTTTCTTCCATGTTTTATGTCATTATGTCTTTTATGCATTGTATATATATGAGATGTAATCCTCATCATAAATTTATTCAATCACATTTTTATAAACCAAATTCTATCATGGTATCAAGAGCTTAAGTCAAAAGACATTATTTTTTTTTTTTCTCCTTCGAAACTTTTTTTTTTCCTCCTTCGGCTATCACGCACGTCGCCGATCTTCTCTTTACGCTATGGCCTCTTCCGACTCTCCTTCTAGCTCTGCCGGTCTCCCGAGCGACACGGTCACGATCTTTGACTCCGACAATCCGAGCTCGACGTTGATTAACGTCAAACTTCCACGCTTACCTCATCTCGACCTCTTGAACTTTTATACTCGGACGTATGGACTTCGCCCGTCACCTCTTTTGACGGGTACAAGTATTATGTTATTTTTGTTGATCATTTTACCCGATATACATGGTTTTACCCTATGCGGCACAAATCTCATGTTTCGACTATTTTTCCAAAGTTTAAATCTCTTGTTGAAAATCGTTTTCAAACAAAAATTGTCACTCTTTATTCGGATAATGGTGGAGAATATATTGCACTTCGAGATTTTCTTTCGTGTCATGGTATTTCGCATCTTACTTCTCCTCCCCACACACCCGAGCATAATGGTATTTCGGAACGTAAACATCGTCATGTTGTTGAAACCGGACTTACAATTTTATCTCAAGCTCTCATTGATCTAATTCTCGCTGGCCTCGGTGATGAGTACAAGACTATCAAAGACGTCGTACATGCTCGAGACACTCCGATCTCATTTGTCGAGTTACATGAGAAACTGTTGAGTCTTGATGTCGACCTTGCTGCCATACATCTCTCAGATCCTCCTATTTCGGCTTATGCAACACAACATACCTCTCGATCTTGGCGCCCTCCCACTGGTTTTGGTCCCCAACCTTCATCAATGCCCTGACCTTCTCTTGCTCAGGGTTCTCGCTCAACTCAATCCCGATCTCAACCATGGCGTACACAGTCTCGAGGATACCTCGGAAAATGCCAACTCTGCGGTGTTCAAGGGCATAGTGCCCGAACATGCCGCCTGCTTCCTCCTTCGGTTGCCCGCTCTCCTGCCGACTCCAGTCCACCTCATACCACTGGTCCTTGGAAACCATTGGCTCAGACTGCAACTGTCTCCCCCTCTCAACCATCATCTTGGTTGCTCGACTCGGGAGCCTCTCATCATGTCACTACCGACCTTGCTAATTTATCTCTCCATTCACCCTACCAAGGAGGAGATGAAGTTATCATTGGCAACGGCTCCGGACTTGCCATAACACACACTGGTTCCTCGTCTCTTCCCTCTAACTCTCGTCGTCTTAATCTTCAAAACGTCCTTTGTGTTCCTACCATGCATAAGAACCTCATATCCATTCATCAACTTTGTTATTCTAACAATGTTTCGGTGGAATTCTTTTCTCGTTTCTTTCAGGTGAAGGATCTCAACACGATTTCAGCCAATGACATAAAGAGGATGTGTCCTCGTGCCAATTACACGACCAATAAACGGCGCCGTTTTAGTGAGGTCGAACAACCAAAACCTTTTTTTTTTGTTTTGAATTACAAACTTCCAATAATAATAAAGAGCCTTCGAGTGGTCCCCACTGAGTTTGATGGCAGAGATTATACAAATCTCGCTCTCTCTTGTCATTTCCACCGTCCATTTGAAGTTATCCGAAACATACAATTACAAACAAAACGAGACAATTACTATACCACACGGATATTTTTTTTTTCCCTTTGTTTAGTCTACGATTTTAGACTAATGTAATAATAAATGAAAAAGAAAATTTTGATAGTATTAAAGATTATATTGAAATCAATAAATTAAAACAAAAGTATAACGAAATCATAATTTTTAAAAATGGAAGATGGCAAGGAGGATTCTATCACCACTATCAATCGTGTCAACAACATCATTGCGTATATATAACATAATATATAAAAATTTATATATATCATTTTGGATCATATAAATCTTATATAAATTACAAATGTAAACATTTCGCATAGAATAATGCAAAATAATTTAACAATGTGAAAAATAATTTAAACAAGTTACAATTTAATGTCACGCCAATTTTGTAAAACATTTTTTGGCAAGTAATGGAGATTCCAAAACTTGGAAGGAGAAAATATCTAAGAAGGTAGAAGGGTTTCTATTCGTCATTGTCCCAAATCCGTACGTAATAAAGTTCTGCTCATGTGACTCTTTGTTGTTCTCCTTTGTCCCACATCCAAACAAAACCCCTCACAATATTCTGCACGTTTTCATTTTATATTTATTCAAACAATTTTGGTCATTTTGGATAATCCTAAACCAAACAGGATCCATATCAGTTCCTGTCTCCTGGGACGTGTAAACTATGCGGTGTGCAGACCAAAATTTTACATGTTCAACAGTTCAAGAACACTCCCCCAACTTCAGATGACAGATCACAAAAGACCAAACAGTGACTCGTGTATTCAAGAACCCTAATTCCAGATGATTATAAGGTAGATCAAGAATCCTAATTTCCATATCATGCTTCTCCTCCCTAAGACAAAACCCTCTTAAGGGTACATCGATCCATGATCTATATCCCACAATTTGCTTACCGGATTAGCCGCTGAACTCATTCCGGCAGCCAAATATATGATCAGCAAAAACAATCGCCAGGAGAAACTATAACAGGAAACGAATCCATATGGTAACATGACAGATCATATGCATGATACTATATGATAGAATTTGGTTTATAAAAATGTGATTGAATAAATTTATGATGAGGATTACATCTCATATATATACAATGCATAAAAGACATAATGACATAAAACATGGAAGAAAACATGGAAGAGACATCTTGGCCGGTTTCTCCTTGAGTGCGGGTTTATTAACTCCCTCTCTGATACCTCATTGTTCATTCTTACCCGTGATATTGTTACTATCTATGTTCTTGTGTACGTTGACGATATCATTATCACGGGTAGCCACTCGAAGGATGTGCAGAGCTTCATTGATGTCCTCGCTCGTCGGTTCTCTATCAAAGATCTCGGCTCATTATCATACTTTCTTGGCGTCGAAGTCAACCGCACATCAACCGGTGTTCTCCTCACTCAACAACGGTACATTTCTGACGTTCTTGCACGACATTTTATGGCAGATGCCAAGGCTGTACCAACCCCGCTCCCATCTACCTTGAGCCTCCGACTCAACGCTGGTTCTCCTCTCGCCGATCCTACCGAGTACCGTCAGATTTTGGGTAGCTTACAATATCTTCTTTTCACTCGGCCTGACATTGCATTTGCCGTCAACAAACTATCTCAATACATGCATCGTCCGTGCTCGGATCATTTGCAAGCCCTCAAACGTATTCTCCGATATCTGAATGGCACTCGATCCCTCGGAGTTTTCATCTCACGTTCATCTTCTCTCTCACTACATGCATTTTCGGATGCCGACTGGGGAGGTGATCGTGATGATTTCTCTTCGACGGGAGCTCACATTGTCTATCTTGGACGCACTCCTGTGTCATGGTCGTCCAAGAAACAACGCTTTGCTGCCAAATCTTCCACTGAGGCCGAGTACAAATCAGTTTCCTCGACAGCATCCGAGGTACAATGGCTTATGTCTCTCCTCTCTGAGCTCGGTGTCATGTTCTCTCATATGCCGGTTATTTACTGCGATAATATTGGTGCTACATATCTATCGGCGAATCCTGTTTTTCATTCTCGGATGAAACATGTTGCCATTGATTACCATTACATTCGGGGTCTCGTTCAAGCTCAGAAGCTTCGCGTCTCTCATGTTTCATCTGCGGATCAACTTGCCGATGCTCTCACCAAATCTCTCCCACGCCAACGGTTTGAGTTTCTTCGGTCCAAGATCGGTCTTCTATCCGACACCGATCTTGCGGGGGCATGTTAGTATATTGATATATTATTATTATCTATTACAATTATTTTCCTAAAATTATGCCACTAATTATACTTAATTTCCTCCATGTTTTCCTCCATGTTTTCCTCCATGTCTCTTCCATGTTTTCTTCCATGTTTTATGTCATTATGTCTTTTATGCATTGTATATATATGAGATGTAATCCTCATCATAAATTTATTCAATCACATTTTTATAAACCAAATTCTATCATATAGTATCATGCATATGATCTGTCATGTTACCATATGGATTCGTTTCCTGTTATAGTTTCTCCTGGCGATTGTTTTTGCTGATCATATATTTGGCTGCCGGAATGAGTTCAGCGGCTAATCCGGTAAGCAAATTGTGGGATATAGATCATGGATCGATGTACCCTTAAGAGGGTTTTGTCTTAGGGAGGAGAAGCATGATATGGAAATTAGGATTCTTGATCTACCTTATAATCATCTGGAATTAGGGTTCTTGAATACACGAGTCACTGTTTGGTCTTTTGTGATCTGTCATCTGAAGTTGGGGGAGTGTTCTTGAACTGTTGAACATGTAAAATTTTGGTCTGCACACCGCATAGTTTACACGTCCCAGGAGACAGGAACTGATATGGATCCTGTTTGGTTTAGGATTATCCAAAATGACCAAAATTGTTTGAATAAATATAAAATGAAAACGTGCAGAATATTGTGAGGGGTTTTGTTTGGATGTGGGACAAAGGAGAACAACAAAGAGTCACATGAGCAGAACTTTATTACGTACGGATTTGGGACAATGACGAATAGAAACCCTTCTACCTTCTTAGATATTTTCTCCTTCCAAGTTTTGGAATCTCCATTACTTGCCAAAAAATGTTTTACAAAATTGGCGTGACATTAAATTGTAACTTGTTTAAATTATTTTTCACATTGTTAAATTATTTTGCATTATTCTATGCGAAATGTTTACATTTGTAATTTATATAAGATTTATATGATCCAAAATGATATATATAAATTTTTATATATTATGTTATATATACGCAATGATGTTGTTGACACGATTGATAGTGGTGATAGAATCCTCCTTGCCATCTTCCATTTTTAAAAATTATGATTTCGTTATACTTTTGTTTTAATTTATTGATTTCAATATAATCTTTAATACTATCAAAATTTTCTTTTTCATTTATTATTACATTAGTCTAAAATCGTAGACTAAACAAAGGGAAAAAAAAAATATCCGTGTGGTATAGTAATTGTCTCGTTTTGTTTGTAATTGTATGTTTCGGATAACTTCAAATGGACGGTGGAAATGACAAGAGAGAGCGAGATTTGTATAATCTCTGCCATCAAACTCAGTGGGGACCACTCGAAGGCTCTTTATTATTATTGGAAGTTTGTAATTCAAAACAAAAAAAAAAGGTTTTGGTTGTTCGACCTCACTAAAACGGCGCCGTTTATTGGTCGTGTAATTGGCACGAGGACACATCCTCTTTATGTCATTGGCTGAAATAATAGTTTTTTTTTTGGGGGTAAAAACTGAAATAATAGTTTCATGGTCCTTGTTTTAAAAAACACGTGTAAAATATTGTTTTACCTGTGTTTTTATGATTTTTGAGTATATAGCTGGGTAAAAAATGATAAATTTTCGGGTTATAAAAAAAAATACATCATATAGTATGATTTATTTTTTGGTTAACTTAGTATAATTTATTTTATTATTACTTTTATGTGTATGGGCGAATTTTTTTTTTAGTTAAAGTGTGTGTGGCCGATTTTGCGACACACACATATACGAAAGTAAGCCACTACGACTGACGGAGCCGTTCCGACTCCAAGTAGTTCCATTTGTTCAGGAGTAATGATGACACAAATTCAATCACGTGGAACACGTGCCATGAAATCCCCCACACTATTTGATGGACGGATAACAAGTGTGTGTACTGCTTTTTTTTTCCATCTCGTGCGTTTTATTTCCTTGGATCTTTCTGTATTTCGGCTGCAGAAATTATCCACGTGCTCTTACTGCCACTTTCTCGTGACATATATTGTTATTTTTTATATTGTTTTTATTCGTTTCCATAAATCCATGTAGACGCTTTTTCTTTTTTACTATGTGGAAAGATATTTATAATATCTAGTACGGCCATTTTTTTTTTCTGATTCTCATAGGTATCTTTTCATGATTCAAACATTTGAGTAAATTTATATAAGTATTTTTTTTGTGTATAAAAATTAGATACTTATTGTATCCATCTTATAACTCATAGATTTCCAGTTCTCTGTCATGGTTTCGGAGGCAGTCTTTGAATTTCATATGCATTATTCTTTATGAGTTAAATAAAATTATATATATATAATTAAATTAATCTTTTTGACGATGAGAATTTCCAAAATGTTGACAATCACATGAAAACACCAATTATATATGTTCTGGTAATACTATTTTGGTTTTAGAGTGAACCAGTTAAAACTAATAAAACATCATTAACATAGTGGCTATGTATTAATATTAGTGATTATAAGGAATGAAATTATAAATCCTGATAAAAAAATATCACATAATTAGATTAATAATAGTTATCAATACACGTAGTCTTTTTTTTTTCTGTAATAGACCGTGTGTTCTCTTCTTCTTCTTCTTTTTTTTTTTTTAAACTCCGGCTCGAGGATTTAAACACGTGCTCGTGTCAACGTCTACAGCTCAGACTGTGTTTTTTTCTTCCTATGTCCTTGTGGTGTCCAGTTGCGTCGACATCAAACATAAAAGACATGTTTCTATTATTTTTTTTCATCTAAAAAAAATCATCCATAAATTCTTGAGTTTCGGTCTATTTATAGTTAAATATCTAGTTATTTTTTATGGAAACAAAAAATGAAGGGAACAAAATATATCTAATGGAAAAGATAGAGATTATATTATTCAATTTTTTTGTTGTTGAATTAAAGGAAAATATTTATTTAATCAACCTTTGTATATACATATATATGTGTGTGTATAATTTTATTCAATATTATTTATTTGGACTTCATAATTATATGTTTTTGAAATGTTATCATTTTAATTAAATTTTTTAATTTCATTATTTTTAAACATATTTCTACAAAAATACTATTTTCAAAAATTGTAATTAAAAATATCTAACGGTTATTACAAAAATGACCATGTAATTAAAAAAAATGACCATGTTTTAAAAGGCTGTGCTTTAAAATTTATAAAACACTGTAAAAATTATATTGTTTAGTCAATAAAATCGGAGTTATTCAAAATATTATCATATGATAAAATAATAATTAATAGATTATTTTTAACAAAACTAAAAATGCGGCATCTCGTAGCAAATAGATTTATTTATTTTTAACTCAAATTCACAACTCAAATTCTAACCGTACGTACGTATAGATTAATATAATCAATATTGTTAAAGAAAATTTTATTTACTTCTTATAAAAAAAATTACTTGCTTACTGAAAGAACAACAAGATTCCGAGAAAAGCATACGGAATTCAAACCGACATTATCGAGGAAGCGAAATTGCTAATAGGCCGCGTACACACACACGGCAATGCATAATAAATAATTCGCCGAGAAAAAAAAATAAAAGTATATAATTCGATTTCGTTTGTGGTTTATAAAAGATTGTAAAGCGGGGTTTGAACTGTTCAGTCGGCACGTCCTAACTTGTCTCCGATGATGCCACGTGTCCTTTTATAATATCAATTGGAAATAATTAATATTCGTTTTATTTTAAATACATTTATTAAAAGAATGCTGTCAAAGTTTCTATCTTAAAAAATGCCATGAAAATTATTTCAAGAAATTTTATTTTTGCGTTAATTAATATTTTAAATTTCTCCCGTGTATAGCTCGTGTCAAAATTAGAGAGCAGAAAAGTAAGTCGACAGGAGTATATCACGTGTGGAATTCCCACATATCATATTTGGACCGATGGTCGGTCCCACCGTATTTTTCGTCCATATATACTCCTCTCTCTTTCTCCCCCCAAAACTCCACAAACACAAAGAAACCCACATCCAAAGACAAGAAAAAAAGTAGAGGAAGAAAAAAAAAATGTTCCTCGCATCACTCGTCTTTCTCCTTCTAGGGTTTACCATTTCCATCGTCTTCTCGAGAAACAAAACCCTAGAGACCAATTCCAGGTATGGACCATCCTCCTATCCATTCATCGGATGCTTAATCTCCTTCTACGCTAACCGACGTCGTCTCCTCCAATGGTACACCGATCTCCTCTCCCTCTCGCCGTCGCAGACAATCTCCCTCCGCCGCCTTGGCAGCCGCCGGACTGTCGTCACTGCAAATCCCGACAACGTCGAATATATCCTCAAGACCAATTTTATTAACTTCCCCAAAGGCAAGCCCTTCACTGACCTCCTCGGTGATCTCCTCGGCGGCGGCATTTTCAATTCCGACGCCGACCAATGGAGCTCCCAACGCAAAGTCGCGAGCCACGAGTTCACAACTCGGTCCATCCGCGACTTCGGCTTCGAAGTCCTTCGGGACGAGGCCGAAAACCGCCTTATCCCGGTCCTCGAATCCGCCGCCTATGCCGGAGCTACGTTGGATTTGCAGGAGGTCCTAAAACGTTTCGCTTTCGACGTGGTTTGCAAGTTTTCTCTCGGAACCGACCCGGATTGCTTGGATCTGACCCGACCCGTTTCGCCTCTTGTCGTGGCCTTCGACACGGCGGCAGAGATCAGCGCCCGCCGCGCCATGGAGCCGATCTACGCCGTGTGGAAGATTAAGCGTTGGTTGAACGTGGGGAGCGAGAGGAGGCTGAGAGAAGCGGTCAGGACCGTACACGTGTCGGTCTCGGAGATCATTAGGGCCAAAAAGAAAAGCCTCGAGATCGGAACCGGAGACGAGGCCAAACAAGACCTCTTGTCAAGGTTTCTCTCCGCCGGGCATGGCGGAGACGCCGTGAGGGACATGGTCATAAGCTTCATTATGGCGGGAAGGGACACAACGTCGGCGGCGATGACGTGGCTCTTCTGGCTGCTGACGCAAAACGACGTCGCCGAGAAGAAGGTTCTTGAAGAAGTGGGCTCGTTGATGAAAGGCAAGGATGGAGATTTAGGGTTAGGGTTTGAGGATTTGAAAGTGATGAGTTATACGAAAGCTTGTCTCTGTGAAGCCATGCGGCTTTACCCTCCAGTGGCCTGGGACTCGAAGCATGCAGCGAACGACGACGTTTTGCCCGACGGGACACGTGTCAGCAGGGGAGACAAGGTGACGTATTTCCCCTACGGCATGGGGAGGATGGAGAAGTTGTGGGGGAAGGATTGGGACGAGTTTAAACCGGACCGGTGGTTAGCGTGTGAACCGGAAGACGGTGCGAGGCCGGTTTTGAGGAGTGTAAGCCCGTTCAAGTTCCCGGTTTTCCAGGCCGGTCCAAGGGTTTGTCTGGGGAAGGAAACGGCGTTTATGCAGATGAAGTATGTGATTGGTTCCGTTTTGAGACGGTTCGAAATCGTGCCGGTTTGTAATAACCGGCCGATTTTTGTTCCCCTTTTGACGGCCCACATGGCTAGTGGGTTCAAAGTGAAGATAAAGAGGAGAACAACTCAGTAATCAAGCTATTAGTAAAAACATATTTTAAATTATAATGTTTATGTGTAATTCATGTAATGAGATGCAAAATGAAGGTGTAGATTGGTATGTGAATAACAATATATCCGATGTTATAAAATATTTAAATCTGTTTGCTTAAATGGATCTCTGTATAATATGCTACAAGGGGATGTATATTATATATATATATTATATTGTATATATATATGAATTATTCAGTTTACCTATTTATCGGTTTCATCAAGTATGACTTCCATCCAAGAATAATAGATATTTTCCCGAGGATCAAGACATGCTTCGAGTTTTACGAATATAAATATTGGTACATATGTATATCATATATAATTTTCCTTTGATATGATACAATCGCGTTATTATTTTACAACGATAATATTAACATCAAGAAGATATTACCTTCTCAACCTTAGTCCAAACCTTATTGTGCGTCTTGTCAGCATGAATGATAGCGAGAATGCCTCGTTCCCCATACTAACTAATTACCTGCTGTAACTAAACAAGTAATCAACTAGAAATATATTGCGATCATTATTGAAATTTCCGGTTTAGGTTGAGAAGACAAATTTCTTCATATATAATTTTCTTTGGTTAACATTATCATACCGGTTTGGTCTGCGTCTGAAAAGCTGCTAGTCTTGACTTTAAAACCTCGGCACTATCATCTTTGCGTTGAATAAAAGGTTCTCCGGTTTCCTTCGAGAGATAAATTAAAGTAAATATTAGAAAAATTAAAACACCTGGATTACTGCAGACCGAACTAAACCGAAAACACTATCATACTGGATTTACGGTATATTGTGTTGAAAATAAATAAATGATTTGGTATGGCCTTACATCATCAACTCCATCAATTCTTGGAGGTGCATATATCGAACAAGTAATTCATTCTTCGCGAATCGATTCACCGATTAAGAATTGAATAACTTTTTCGATTCGAGTCCCTCGCTTCTAAGTATCTCATCAAGCTGTTGAATTGCTTATATATCACCCCGCATTATAATCGAGACTAATCACTATATAATAAGACGATTTCCATATATCTATACCATACCAAATACCTTTTGGTTTGGTATTCGGTTTAAATGTCGGTTTAGAATGGGGTATTACCTTCCGAGCTTGGGTTAGTGTCTTTGGAAAACCATCTAGAACAAAGTCCCTCTTGCGTTCGGGCATGTCCATGACTTCATCCATCATAGCAGTGGCCAAATCCTATGATCCGATCTCTCCCTGTTAGATCGAACTGAAATCGAAACCTAACCGGACCACACGTTTTGTTAACGACATAGCCAAATTAAACCGGCTCGAAAATATTTACAGGGGCAACTTTAATATTTCATCATTGTTGCATGGTTTATTTTTTTGGGTAAACAATAATCAAATGTTTGATATTTCATCACTGCCGTATGGTTTTCCAAGTCGGTCCAAGGGGTTGTCTGGGGAAGGAAATGACGTTTATGCAGATGAAGTACGTGGTTGATTCGATTTTGTGATGGTTTACAATAACCGACCGATTTTTGTTCCCCACGGGATGACCCACATGGCTGGTGGATTCAAAGTGAAGATAACGAGGAAAACGACTCAATAATCAAACTATTAGCAAACATTTATTTTAAATTGCAATGTTTATGTGTAATTCCTAAAAAGAGATGCAAAATGAATCAATAGCTTCAATGGCTTGAAGATATTTACAGGGGCAAGTTTGGTATTAATTTTATCATTGTCGCGTGATTTATTTTCTCGGGAAAACAAGAATCAAATGCTATGGAGAGAAAAACTAAAACCCTAAAGATGGGAGAATTTGAAACCCGAGAGATGGGAGAATTTTTTCTCTTCCTTCCCCCTCCTGTTGATCTTCAGAATGTATTTTCTTTTTCGATGCATCTCTTGTCTCATCCTCTGTTGTTTTTTTCGGAGGAATTTCTTGCTCTTTCTCCGGAAATAGGTCGGCATTCTCCTCGCTCTTCACCGACGATGTTCTCCTTGCTCTTCTCCAGCGATAAGTCGACGTTCTCCCCGCTCTTCACCGGCGATAAGTCGACGGCTTCTTGCTCTTCGAGTGGTAAACATGAAATACAGAACATCACGAACGAAACAAAAACATTTGGAGTGGTTTCAGAGAAAGCGTGAAACTTAAACAAGTCAGATTTTGCAAGTCTAATAACTTTCACTCTACTAGTCAAAATTATGTGTTCTCTATATCATTAGATCTTTTCAATATCTATACATAGACAATAAGATCACCTAAATTCGATATCGAAACAGGAGGTTATGAGAAAATTTGTGAAGCCCGTCAAAACTGATTAGAGACATGAAATAATTGTTTTGGACTTGGTGAAACGATCAATTCGACTCCATAGAATTGGAGAATTGCTCAAAATATTGAAACGATCGGTTTGGCTTTAGCAAATTTGATCTTGTTAGCCACTTGATTGAATGAACTTAGTGTTTTAATTCACATAAACAAGATTATAATATGGAAATAAGTCAGTAAATAGAACAAGTATTGCATCTAGAGATGGATATTTGTCTAGGGATTATGATAACGTTCGTTCATGCGTCCAGAGTTTTTAGACTATTGAATTGAGAGATTAATAGGATAAAACTTGGATAGTGAGATTAGATTTGAGAGAGTTAATTTCTATCTTAGAGCTTGAATTCCCCGTATTGAATTTATAAACTACAGAGTTTGTATCTTTGGAAAGATCCTTGCATGTAAAACAATCATGACACCTGCAGTATTCATCATTGATTGTTTACATTTAATTTTGTTATTCGCTTTGATACATTCTCATCACTCTCACATCTTTCTCTAGATCTAGATTTGGCTTAGGATTTGATTCTTTTGTCTACCTTGTTTCTGTGTTCGACCCTAGCGACTACACACAATCCGTACACTTGCGGTTATTTGTTGAATCTAGGACTTATTACTTGATTGAATTCTATATACCTAGATTTAGGACATCAACCATCTTTCTCTTCATCTTTCACCGACAATTGGTCATTTTTCTCCTTAATCTTCACCGACAATACGTCGCCTTTCTCTTCGTCCTTCACTGGCAATATGCCAGCTTTCTCTTCGCCCTTCACCGGTAATGAGTCGTCTTCCTCTTCGTTCATCACCGACAGTACATCGCTTATATCCTCATTCTTTACCGACAATAAATCGGCTTCTTACACATTAGACATTTGCAGCTAAAATAATAAAGATTGGGGAGGAAAATCGAAGATTGGAATAAAGTTTAGGTGAAATCAACGTTTAGAAGTGTAATTGATATAATATGTGTGTGAAGAATAATTAAGCGTAGTTGAAATTAATTAAAATGCGAGATAAAAATTGTTCTTTTATGTTTCTAGAAAATAGAGTTTTTGGGTTTAACTCGAACTCACTCTCTAAGCAATTGCTTAGGACGTTGTGTTGCAACGTTTCAGATTTGAATTAACACACTTGATAGCACGCGGACAACGATGGGAAAAGTCTTTTTTAAGTTTCACGATATTTGAGATTTTTCTATTTGGAATTGTAATTGTGTCCGTCTTCCTCCTTCGGCGAGATGTGGGCTTCTAACTTGTCCTCCTTCGGCAATAGATAGCCTTTTCCCCCGCCATCCACCGACGAGACGTGGGCCTTTTTACTCGCCCCTCCAGCGAGACATAGGCTTTTTCTTCGCCCTCCATCGGCGAGACGTGGGCTCTCCACTAGTGAGACATTGGCTTCTTGCTCATGCGACATGGCAACCAAAAGAATAAAGACTCGTGTGGGGAGGAAAATCGAAGAAGGATGAGAATAATTTTGGTATATCGTAAATGAGTTTTATCTCTACACTTTTCTTTATAATGATAGATATGCAACGTTTTAACTCATGGAGTTAAAATCTATATAAATATCAAATTGAATTCAAAATGTTTCATATCCATCCATACAAAGAAAAATGTATTTATTAAAACTTGTTTTTGGGCAATGGTCGTGCATATAATCCAAACTTTAGATTTTTTTTATCGGATATGACTGATAGAAACTTGTTAAGTTCGCAAGAATATCTCTTATTCCAGTTAAAACAAATTAGACATTTCATTTTGCGTAACATATTGTTGATCATTGACTAAGATAAAACAATGAACGAATTAATAGTGAATTGAGAGAACATACTAGAGGAAAAGAAGAATCGAATAAAGAACCGACAGTATGAGAGAAGAAAAACTGAGGAGAGAGATAGAGAGAGTTGGAAATGATGATTTATATAATGTATTCGTTTTTTGTTTTGAGGGAGCGCAAGTCGGAGGTGGTGAATTATATTATATAATATATTTTTCTTTGTTCTTGGTTCTTTTTTTTCACATGAATCCAAGATTATATTGATATCAATTCGATCTTGTACATAATTAATTATACTTTTCTTTAAAAATTATTGAGTTATGTCTTTTTAATTAATATCGACCTTCTTTTTGTTTGTGCTCTCTTACATTGGTTTTGTTTAGCTGCAAACTCTATCTTACATATTAGTGAGAGAAAAGTACATCCATTTGTCAAAATTAGATAATATATAAAAAGTCAGACAAACAACACGTACATATAACCATTGGTTCGAAAATGCCATAGAAAAATATGCATGTATAAGTCATACATACAAATTATTTAAAATCCGTTCGTCACCTATTGTTTTTTAAATTGTTACGTCATCGCATATATATATATATATTTATATATATGATGCATATTATATATATGTATTCATATATATTTGTATTTTGAATCATTGTTTTTCAATGAAGAAAATATTCAAAATACTCTCCTTTTGCTAAAATTATTTCTATACATATCATTCTCTAGATATGAGCATGTGACGAAAATGACAATATGACCAAATGGTGGTCACATTAGTCATAAAATTAAATTATGATGGTTTTATCATGTGATTAGTGTGATATGTAAGATGTGTGGCTATGATGACTTGGTGTGATCATCATAAAATTAACATTATGACAAATATGACGATCATGCTACCATATTGTCATTTTGATCACATGATTATATTTGGATGAAAGTATATTCAGAAATAGTTTTAGCAAAATGACCATATTTTTCAATGTGACGTTTATTTTTATTAATTGCATTGCATTTTTTTCAAATGTCCACCTAAAAATCAA